AGAAAGGCTTCGGTTTCCAAGTGTTCAAACCACAGAACCAATGTGGGATTTTGCTGTTCTCTGTTGAGGCAAACTGGTAAGTGACTGGGTCCACCCAAAGAATTTAGCAGGACAAATGTTGGTACTGCTCAGGAATACTGTCAGGGCATCTTTGTCCATATTTCTTGCCCACCAATCTAACCATATTCGAAGTCTTGAGAGGAAAATTAGGCAAGAAAATGTTGCTTTGTAAAATGACTGGTTAGATAGCTCGAAGGTTGCTGGAATATTGTCTTTTTAGGCATGTCTGTCACAGAATTGTTAATTCTTAAGGTAGCCAATTAAAAACCAAGAAAATAAATTTCTATACTGTGCCATTTCTGTAGTCAAAAGATCAACAGGTGAAATACCAGCCAAATATGGAGTGCTTTAAATAGCTTTAACCTCAGTGGAAACCAAAATTTTTGTCCAACTATTAAAACCTTCTCAATAATCAGTGTAAGGTATCAAATTTTAATGAATTAATTTTAGTTCAAACTCAATGGGAAGGTAAAAGTGCACTAACTTTACTTACAGTCAGATTTCAAATAATGGCTTTTTTTCCTCTTACTTCTAGGCTATACATTTTGATTCATTGTCCAAATGATGTATAGATCAAAACAGTAGCAGACTACAAAAGTAGTGATGCAGTTTCAAAGTCACTATGAAAGCAATGAGGATGTTGGGGATGAAACGTGCATCAACTATCATAACAAATGGTTTAACATTTAATTAAAAAGGGATGAAAACACAGGAAATCTATATAAATGTGCATATACTTTATCCATGTCACAACAGAGACAATGTTATTGCGCACATTTTCAAGAGACAATTTATCAAAAGGGTAGGAAAAAAAAACACAATGCCAAGACTAAACACGATCAGAAGGAAGAAACCTTCAGACAATAAAGTGTTCAAAACCATCAAGATTACAAGGCAAATCAGAGTACTAAAGTAGATATATATTGTAGATAATTCACAGTAACAAATATATGATCAGAGCCTGAAATACTGAAACAGTGGCCTATATTAACTACTTTGATATTAGTCAATTATTTGACCCATATACATTTTAAGTATAGTTTTTTTTAAAACTAACTACTGACAATTAACAGCTGCCAATCCAAGCAGCTTTCAGACTGGGTAAGAGGCAATGGAAACCATGACAACAACATAGAAATACATTAAAAGGAGATCATTAAACTTTTCAACTTGGAGCTTATTGGAAGCACAGGATATTCAATACTAATTCTGGTATTAGATCAGCATTTTCTATACAGTACAGAATCAAATACCAAAAACTAAAATTGCAATTTGGTACTTTATAAAGAGATAAATCTCTTTCAGGTCAGAATAAGATCTGATAACACTTTCATACAAAAACATTTTGTGATGATGGGTATTCAGTATTGGATATTACATTCCAGCGATAAATAATTTCTATACAAAAGGATTAAAATTGATTTGTCTCGAAAATGATTCTGCTTTCTTTAACTTTTGTATTATGTTCGCAACATTTCATCATTTCAACATTCAACAATGAGCAGAATGAGGCTGGGGGTAGTGGGTATATAGTTTGATATAATTCATTGATTAATTTACCAATATGAGATGTATATGGCGGAAATCTTAGTGGCAACTGAAGTCATGTGCATCTTTAGCTGTACTTAATAACAAAGCATAATAAAACTACAAATTAAAACTTGGTAACACTATGCCTAAGCCTAATTTTACAAATGTGATATAAGGTCCATTTTTGCATATGGACATGATCTCAACCTAAACCGTATTTTTTAAAGGGAGCTGCGCTGCTTATAGTTCTCACTTTTGCACTGGAGCCTTTTCATTTAAGGAATAAGGTAAACAAATATTATACTGTAAATTCAATTTTAACAAGCACAATCCTAACTTAGCTATTTGGTTTGTGTTATAGAAACAGAAAAAACAACATTAACCAGTAATGTTCACCACATCCACTTCAATTCTGCCTGCTTCAAATTGAAGCACAGAAACCTTCAGCATAAAGCAATATTGCACTGAGTGAATCAAGAAAAAAACTAGACAGTCCATACCATGTTAGTTCGGTTTAATCTAGTACAGACACTATAAATGGTTTATTTCTGTGGTGTATATGGCACAGTCTATATGAATCACTGTTACTGATGCTAAACAAATTTGTAAAGTCAGTTCATATTGAAACAACAGTAAAGTACTACAGATGGTGGAAATCTGAAATAAAAACAAAGTGCAGGGGTAACTCAACAGATCTGGCAGCGCTGTGGATACAGAAACAGAGTTAACATTTCAGGTCCATGGCTTTTCTTCTGAATTGCTGAGTTTGCTCTGCACTGTTTTTATTTTGTCTTGGGCTGTTTTGTCAAGGAGCTAGAAAGTTACAAACAAGTACAACAGCTTTCTACTTAATCTCTGGAGTGCACAGCCAACATCAATTCCCCAACTTTGGCTACTTGGGCACTTCTGTGCAAGAAACATTTAAATAGTGGTCTTAAACATCAAGACTGGTTAAACAGGGATGTTAGCACGCGAGCAATGTCACAGGTGCCCAATGATTATACTGCTGAATATAGGGAGAGGGGAACCTTGGGGAGGGCAGAAAGAGGGGACATGTTTGAAGGTGGCACGAGTAATTAAGAGTGTAATCAGTGAAGCATATGGGATCTAGGTATTCATAAACAGAGGTGTCCTATATAAAAGCAGAGACGTTATCCTGAACCTTTACAAAGCTTTGATTTTAGGTCACAACTAGAGTTTAATGTCCAATACTGGTTGCAAGTGTGTGTTGTCACTCAAGAGGATGTAGAGGAGATTTGCCAGAATGGTTCCAAGGATGAAGAATTTTTAGCTACAAGATTAGATTGGAGAAACTGGGGTTGGTCTCTTTGAAGCAAAGGAAGTGCAAGGAATACAGAGGTATTCAAAATTATGGACAAGAGAAACAGCATTGAGGAAGAACTGTCATTTTAAACAAAGAAGATGACAATGACCTGTAACTTGTCACCTTGAGTATGGTGTAAATGTAAAGCATAGATCAACAATGATTTCAAGTGGCAAATCAGATGAACACTTAAGGGAAGTAAACTTTCAGGGCTATGGGAATAATGGACCAACTAGAAAGCTGTACCAAACTGTGAGGATGACAAAGCTTCAAAATGATATTGCCAAGTTGTTGGAGTGTATAGATAATGGCAGCTGAAATTCAATGCAGAGAAGAGTGAGGAGATGCATTTTATTAGAAAGAATGTGAACAGCAATATAAAACAAGGGGCACAAATCTAAAGGAATGCGGGAGCACAGGGACCTGGGTACGTGCGTACACAGATCATTGAAGGCAGGTGAGGTAGAGAGCGCAAATAAAGTGTGCGGTATCCTGGGTTTTCTTTTTGAGAGAGAAAAAGAAAACTACAGCAAGGAGGTAATCCTGAAAGTTGTGAAAGACACTTGTTCAGTCTTGTTTGGAATGTAGTTCTGGGTGCAGCACCATAAGAATGATGTGAAGGCAGTGAAGAGAGGGATTGCACAAGAGATTTACAAAAAATGGTTCTAGGGATGAGAAACTTGAGTTTTGAGGATACAATGGAGAGGTTAGTACTGCTGCTCTTACAGAGAAGGCAGCAAAGAGGAGATCTGACAGGAGTTTTAAAAATCATAAGGGGTCTATATAGAGTAGATAGGGAGGTTGCTCCTGCTCATTAAAGGATCAGGAATGACAAGGCACAGACAAAGTAATTTACAAAAGAAGCAAATGTGATGTGAGAGAAAAAGTAAACAAGTGGCTCAGGTTTGGAATGCAAAGTGTAGTGGAGTCAAGTTCTACTGAGGCATTAAAGACAGCATTAGATGAACAGAAAAATGTTCAAACATATATGAGGAAAAGGCAAGAGAATGGCACCAAGTCACGATGCTCATTTGTAGAGTAGTACAGATACAATGGGCTGAATAGCCTCCTTCTGGGATTCTGGCTTTGCCATCAAATGTAACTATTCATGAGCACACTCAATGTTTTGGATACCAGACTCCTGAACATAGCTCGCCTCACTCTCCAAATATAACTGCTTCTACATTAACATTTAAGAGAACTATCAAATAAAAACATTCCAGTCCTGGAAACTTAAACATAACTTCCAAAAGGGAAAGGGAAACAAAACTGGCCTATGGAACTCAGCTACAGTCCATGCTATTACTTCAGAAAATATTTCAAACTAATTTCTGGTACTAGCTCCCAATTTACAGTGGTTTTCAGCTTAATGTTTAGATGAAAGTATGCGAAGCTGACTAGTCAGAACAAAATTATAAATTAATGATAGTCTTATTGACCCACTGCTTAATCTTTCATTCACCAAGGCTCATTGCTTTAGTCAGGTCACAACGCTGTAATGTTCATTGATTCACACAATGAAAGAAGGTGCCTCAAGCATTTCCCACCATTTAACAATCCTTTAGCAGCAGCAGCATTCCAAAATAAAACTGCAGGAGCCGAAATAAAATTTTTGAACTTCAAGGCGGTGACTTTCAACACACAGCATAGTGAACCACTTTGCGTAGTTAGTAATGATAGACAGGAGACTAAACCTTATAACTCAAAATTAATACTAATAATTGATTGATATGCAACCCTGTTACTTCACAAATGAAAAAAAAACCTGGCCTGCAGGTCAAAATTAGACTATGAATGTTTTTATTTAAATACTATTCTCAGCTAAATAGATCAAATTATTTTACCTCTACTATAAGTCCAACCATTCATGGCTTTTAAAAAAATAATTATAGATGCAAGGACATGGGTTAAAAGCAACGACACAGCAAAGTAAAAACTGGTTTATACTTATATGGGTGTTGTTGTGTTATAATTTCAGTAATTCAATTTACTATTTCTATTGAGAGTCTAACAGTTAATATTCAAGTATATTTTTTAAATAGTGCAATTACTTGCAAAAGCACAAATCTGAACACTGAAACACTGGTTGGACTCCTAATCGAAGTTTATTTGAAGCAAAATATGTTTATCTTATTTAACCATGAAATGTCTCTCTTGTAATTTTAGCTCAATGGACGCGTAATTCTACCAGAGTGCTATGCGAATTAATACAAAATTATGTTACAGAATCAAAGAAAGCAAAATACATTCAACAGTTAGCAGACATTGCTTTTTCCCCCAAATGATATGCCTCAGAATTGTAACCGAGTTCAGCCTGATGTCAGTAAAGTTGTGATAGCTTTGTAGCCTTAAATGTCTTCTTTACAAAAAAAAAACTAACCAATTAACTGCATAAATCTGATTTTAACAAGTCATTTCAGTTGATACTGGAAACCTAAATAACATTCCATTGAACCAAGTTCAAACAGGTTGCTCAAATATTAACACTAGTAGATTACCTTTACTTGTTGTTCAGAATTCCAAAAACACATTTAAATCCTCTCAATACAGTTTAAACAAATATGAACTTGGGTGGTACTTAAATCTGTAACTTCTTAAAATACATTTTTTTTTTTTTTTTACAAACAAAAACTCTTGATAAGTTAAACATTAGAAAATACACTTTTCCACAGGAAAGTTTATTTTTGATTTTAACTACACCTTTTTTGATATTAACATATTTCACATCATTATTATAATAATTTCTTTCTTCTAATATCCTAAAGCACCTAAACATGGCATTTTACAGGAATTGTTATTCAATGAAAGGTAATGAGTCTTGGTTTAAAGAGCTGAAGTTTTGAAGCAAACAAAGGGAAGGTGGAGCCTAAATTGAAGCCTAGTAAAGCAACAAGTTCCGTACGTTCTCAGTAAATCACTGATCAATGTATACAGTCACATTTTAATATGTACTGACTGTCCCCAGTGTCTTGTTTCTACTCAGAGTACCAATTCTGCAGTTTCATTTTAAGAGTACTCTGCTGGGAAAAGTATCAAGTACCTTTAGTAATGAATATACACATTGTAGATAAGATTGAATGGAATTGGAACTATCTTAATACACAGGTTGGGAAGTAAATGTTTAGAGGTGTCAATTACCCCCAACAGCATTATTATAACACTGGATTTTCTAAGCAGCTAATCTTAACATTCAGAACCTTATTTTAACACGTTTCCTGGAAACACAGAAAACAATTTGTTTTGGTGCCTAACAGATTATTTCTTTCCTAATATTGTGCAAATGGAAATTAATGCTGAGCTTTTATTCAAGTGTCATTTTGACAAACTCAGAACGCTGCATGTTAATTCATAGGCAGCTCCTTTCTGTTCTCAAAAGCTCAACTGAATGATATCCATATTATAGGCACTTATTTTACGAACTGTCGAGCAGATTCAATACCTGATATATTATGTTAAATAAAGTGAGACTGCAAATTAATCTAACAAGAAGCTAAACTGTGAACTGGAACACCTTCTGGAGAGGGGGACAGAGCAGGTTAATCATCTTGAATTGCTTAAAGATGTCAGAAATCACACGACACCAGCTTATAGTCCAAAAGGTTTATTTGAAAACACAAGCTTTCGGAGCCTTACTCCTTCCTCAGGTATTAGTGGACTCCGAAAGCTGTGTTTTCAGTTAAACCTATTGGACTATAACCCAGTGTCGTGTGATTTCTGACCTTGTCCACCTCAGTCCTACACTGGCATCTCCACATCATGCTTAAAAATGGCATGCAATGCAAAAATCAACTATTCCAACGGAGGAAAACAGAGAGAAATTCTATTTTTTACTGCAACTATTTAGCAAAAGCGATGCGAGGAAACATAAGGAAAAAAAGCAGCCAGAGAGGAAATATATTTACCTAAATGGAGGTGGTAAACCTCAACAGAACTCCGTATTAACAATGGGCTGAACGAACGAATGCTTGAATCTTACATAATACACAAAACTATATATTCGACTAAGCACAGTTATAAAATAGTCAGTTAACAGAAGCTGATAACAGTGCAGAACTTCCAAAAAGCAGGGATTTAGCTTGTTACTTACGTTTAAGTATCAGTTGAATCTGAATGTGTATATTTATAATAAAATGGGATATTTTCCCATGACAAGTTGGTCAAAATGCACACAACATGAAGTAATGCTACTGAATATCATGACTAGCTGCTACCGTGCAATTTAGGACTTCCATTTTCATTCCTCCATGGGCAAGAGAAAATTTTTATATTGACAATGCAATTTTGCATTTTGTCGCAAAAACCTAAAACAATCTAACATACTGCATTTCTATGGACTTCTGAATCAATTTTTTGCTTTGGATGCAATGAGTTGTAAGAATTGTAGAAATGTAATCCATACTCGATTGCAGGTCCTCAGTTCATGGCTTGTTTAGTCTCATGTTAGAGGTCTGTTACGATTGTTGAATCTCTCCTCCGGAATCTTAGTATGGGTTTCTGGCCACCACAAACTGCTTCAGCGTCAGTCTTATTGTTCAAACCAATAACAAAGACACTGAACGTAGGTCTGCATTGCTTAGGAGCTCTCAGCGCTTCTTCCTGTGGACATCTTCAACTAACTGAACCCTGTTTTCCTCTGCAAAAGTAAGCAAAGCTTTTAAGTATATAAACACAACATGACACGAATTTGTGTTAGTTTGAAACTTTTTTTAAGCAGCACATTCCAAAAACATTTTCCCGTTAACTATCCCAATTTAACTGCATTGTGTAATATCTACTCTTCTAAAGTTTAATCGTTAACATAAGTAATTTAGATGCTAAATCATTTTGTCACAACTAGTTAAATACAGAAATAATGTAACTGAAATAAGCTTTTGTCAATATTTAACAAACTGCCTGACAATTTCAGAAATGTACCAATCTGAAAAGAATTGCAGTTATTTACTATTGCTTATTTGTAGCATAGAATTGATGACAGTCATCTTCATTTAGGGCCAACAAAATTGATAAGCACAAGCAAAACTCTGGAAAATGTTTCTATAAAAAGAAAAAGCAAGTGTAAAACTCCCCGACATCTAGAATCTAGAGCATACGGAGGCATTTGCAAATGATAACTAGATAGAATCAAGGAGAGAACGAACAATTGGTCAAACACGAATGGGAGTTGAACATCGTCCATTGCTCCCACGTTCCCCATGATGGAGGAGATGATCACATTTTTGTAGAGATCAACTTCTTTTAAGTACTGTATTTTTTCTTTCAAGATTGCACTCTGGAACCGAATGCATTCTTTTCCTCTGTGGGCTCTCGATTATTAGAGAGCGTCATTGCATTACTTTGGTATATTCAATTAAATAATTCCACAGGTACATTGCTAATCACATACATATATTCACACCTACGTGAGAAGCAGTAAAATACATACTTGTGAAGAACAAGCCTGTTTCTCCAACTTTCAACAAAAGCTTACATTTATACAATTCCTTTAGCAGAGGAAAACAAATTAGGATATTTGGTAAGGGTATTATTAAGCAAAATATGACACATCACATCAGATAATGTCAAGACTTCATCAAAGAGATAGATTATAGGGAGCATCTTAAAGAGAGATGGAAAGCAGAAAGGTTTAATAATGGAAATCAGATAGTGTTCCCAACCCAGGAGATGGGGGCCACTATTAAAACTGGCCACAATGATGTCATGTGAAGAACAACTGTAGAAACACTCTTAAAACATCAAAGTTTACTTCTATTGGCACTTACGTAAATATTTAATGAAATTTTACATTCACAATAATTTTTTGTTTCCTACAATAAGGAGGGAGAAGAATATGTTTAAATGGCATAAGTGTCACCATTAGGCTGTGGAAGTAGTAGAAAGTCACGGTTAATGTTTTTAGGTAATCAAGTGCCACTCCAGTGCTTCACCTAGAGGTGGCATTATGAACAAACACTGCTGGTGGAATGAAGGTTTTAAGCCTGGACAGCTGCAGGCATAATCGTTAATGGAGCAATGATGGAAAGCTTGCTGTACAGGAGGGCTAAAACGCAGGAGAGCATGGATCCAGGAGGTTTAAGAGCTGGAGGACATTGCAGAAATAGCGAAAGGTGCTCCCAAGATCAGATTTGGAAACAGGATTGAGAATTTTCTAACAGAAACTTTGTTATATCTTGGCTCACCTTCTCACAGAGAACACGGGGTGATACACATGAGATTTGCTGGATTGGAATATGAGCAAATTTTTGAATGTGCTGAATTTTGTGGGGGACACATCTGTTAGGGAAGATGTGGCAGTAGCTTTAGTCTGAACTGCCTCTTTACACCCAGGATGTCAATCACTGATAGTAACGTTGGGAAAATGTCACATTACTTGCCTTTCTCCATTGTGGTGAAACAGATGATGAAACAACACCAACACTTACTTTAAAACCTGGAAAACTTTGCTGAATGAGTAGTAGACCAAAAATTCCTTCTGTTTTGCATTTTCTGGAAAGCATTAAAGTTTCTTTTTCTCTCTCTTTTAAATCCCTTCAATTTTTTAATCTGAAAATACAAAATGTTGACATCAGCATTGTAAGCAGTATCAATAATAGGCAAAAGCAAAACTTCTAATGATCTTCGTGGACATTTGAGATGACCTCCACTTGCTTCACATATTGATTTGTGACCTTCTACTGTTTATTTAGAGGAGGCACACAGGCCCAGCAGTGGAGTGCAAACCATTTTTATTTAAAAGTGCTTTTGAATTGCTCCAGGTTGGAATCCCCACACTCAAAGAACAAAATGTTTCTCCAACTTCCAGCACAGCCACGCGAAATAAGACAAGTAACAGAAATATAAAGCGCTTAATTTTGGGGCACTTGCTTTAAGCATTCCATTTTAAGCATATCACTGTGCTTAATTGGAGGGGAAAAGGTATACTGCAGGAAACAACAGTTTGATTGTGTTGCTGCTGCATGCCCCATCATTCTGTGGCAGAAGGTTGGTTGTTTCTATTATTGGGGTTTTTATTTTTCTGCAACTGGGAGCTGCTCGCCAAACTAAATTCAGGCAACAGATCATCAGACAGTATGATTAGACAGAATGATTGTGGGAAGTCAATGCCTTTTGGGCTGGGGTTGCCAGAGGAGAGGAAATATTAGACAAAAGTCAGAAATTGCCAACATTTAATCTACACACAGTTTTATTAAATCTGAATGGTCCTAGATACTGGAATTCAATTACCTAAACATAAATTCTCACGATAACCTCTTACCTTCCCCTTGTCAAATTCTTCATCCCAGTCATCAATAACAACTGAATATTCTGCCTGTTTTGTGTCACATTCGGCATCTTGGCTGACAGCCGACACTGCTCCATCCCAAGTCAGCACTAAAAATGTAATTTTCAATGGAAAGTTTCATTATATTTTTGTCTTAAGCATTTAAAAATACTACAGACTGCCAGGAAGACAGTGTGCCAAATAAACATTTTTAAATCATGTTTGTCAATTAATGGTTATAGAAAAAAAAAAATGCAGTTACTGATCTGTAACCGTCTCAAATACTTATTTGAAATAAAACTTTCTTTTAAAAAAAGAGGCCAAAACATCTGTTACTAGGAAAAGATCAAGACAAGGTCCTATTGGTTTTAGGAAGGGCGCAAGGTGTCATCAGGAAGCATAAGCAAGAGACATCATTCTTGGCCAAATAAACAATTGAGTACACACGTGTGAAATCTGTTTGATCACGGAATCCCAAGGAGCAAAATGCTGCGCAATACTTTGTTTTGCCAGAGGCCCAAAAACTAAACTCCAGGATATGTACCTGATCGCTCAGTGATATGTGCAACCCTCTTTGTCATTATCATTTTAAACTCATTCACATCCACTTCACAAGGAAACAGAAATGCATTCCAGATATTAAGGAGGAAAGTCCATGGTTCACTTTTAATCTATGCTGAGTCAATTTAACTCAGATCAAGGGGAGGGCAGTGAAATAAGCCTCAGGTCTCTCTGTCCTGTCAATTGAGCAGTGCCACAGGTCAGTTTATGACCAATGGGTCAGGTCTAAATAATGATTCTTTGGACAAAATAACAAGACAGACAGAATGGTTCTGGGATTATAACCCATGGAAAGTCAACATGGGTGAGGTTGCCAGGGGAGCCGAAAGAATAAATTGAAAGCAACTTATGGACTGTAGCTTGAATTAAATTCCCTCAAGAATGTAAAGGATTCATACTCAAATATATAAATAGTAAGCTAAGTCAGTTGTGATACAAAAGGTCACGTGATGGAGATACCAAAGAAGAGTGATGCTACTGTACGACCACGTGCCGAGTGTAGATTAACAGAACGCTGAATAAGCAGTAATCTTAAAGATGCCCACACACTCTACCAAACTCTCTTGATTTATATACAGTACCTAATCGCTTCCATGACTCCCAGCAGATCAACAGAAAGAGCAGGTTTTCAAGAAACATCAAATTAACAAAATATTGTTGAACACAGTTAAAAATAGTACTTTACTGAGACTTCAGCACATCCCTACAGTTATCATTTACTTGTGGTAACTGACTCCAGGACCAACAAACAGCTTCAAGTGAGTTACTTTCTTCCTACCTTCAGTTCCGTACGCCTTGTTGCTTGAGTGTTTCAAGAGCTCTTGAACAATAGTGGATTGCTTCTTCCCATCCCAGGCTAAGCTTGCAATGGGTGCGACAGCAGATGCAGGTCCTTCCTCACCGGAATGCTTTTCAGAGCGTTTATAACCGTCCGTTATCTGGCTGTCCCATATAAACACAGGGGCTTGAACAAAGAATAGCAGACAATGTCAATGATGTAACAATTTGTCCGATGCAAGGTTATTTGGTCTGTGCCAAAGCTCTGCTATAATCCATGGCTGCAAACCTGACGTGAAAAGGCTTCAAGGCAACGCAACCAACATCTAAATGCTAGTTTAATCAAAATAAGGATTAACCAAGAGAAATTATTCCCATTACTCCGACAGCCATCAAAGTTAGGGAAATAAGAGGTATGATTACAGGTCTCAGTACATCATGTAGGATTTTAAAAAAAAAAAGTTCATGGGACATGGATACAGCTGGTTGGGCCAGCATTTATTGCCCACTCAGTTACCCTTGAGAAGGTGGGGCTGACCAGGCTTCTTGAACTACTGCAAACCATTTGCTGCAGAACATATGGACTTGGAGTAGGCAAATTCAGCCCCTCCAGTCTGCTCTGCCATTCAGTACGATCATGGTTCATCTCAGCTCAGCTTCGGCTCCAGCTTCCTACCTGCTCCCCATAACCCTTTCACCCATTACTAATTAAAAATATACCCATCCCCTCCATGAATTTATTCAGTGCCCCAACATCCACCGCACTCTAGTTAATGAATTCCACGGATTCATGACCTTTTGTGAAGTAATTCTTCCACATCTGTTCTAAATCTGCCCAGTTTCGAGCTGCTAGATCTGTTCGAAGCCTGCCCCAATTAGCACAGTGACAGTGCCACACAATGATGTCGGAAATTCTCAACGTGAAGACGGGACCTCATCTCCCCAAAGATTGTGCAATAGTCACTCCTACTGATGTCATGGACAGATGCATCTGTGGCAGGCCGACTGATTATAATGAGGTCAAGTATGCTTCTCCCTCTTGTTGGTTCCCTCACTACGTGCCAGATACAGTCTAGCAGCCATGTCTTTCAGGACTCAATTAGCTCAGACAGTAGTGGTGCTGATGGCCCCAAACAGAGTACAGCATGTTTCCTTCCCATCCTCAATCCTTTTTCTAAGTGGTGTTCAACATGAATCGTTGCTTCTCCATCAGCCACGAGTGGGGGGGGGGGGCGGCGAGCAGGAGGTGTTCTTGCCCATGATTGACTCGATGACCCTTCATGGGGTCCCAAATGATAAATAAACAGATCGAAATGCAAACAATACAGATGTTTTACAGAACGTAGGATTGGAAGAGAAGAATGGAAGATAATTACAAGAGCTCATACCCATAATTAATTCCTTATCAATTGGTCTGAAAAAGAGTACTCCTACACCTACCTTCCCCATTCCCCTAATCATGCACTTGAATCATTTGTAAATGTCTTCCTCTAGCCTCCTGGTTAGATGAGGCACTACAACTCTTATGAATCAAGAAACTTTCTAGTTGTCTTACAGATATGTTTAGACTTGCAGTTTCAAGTCTACACAGGCCCTAAGGAAGGAAAAGAAAAATCATAACATGATGGTCTAGTGATGTTATCATTGGACTGTTAATCCAGAAACCCAGGTTCAAATCTCACCATGGCAGATGGTGGAATTTGAATTCAATAAAATATCTGGAATTAACAATCTAATGATGGCCGTGAATCCATTACCAATTGTCGGGAAAACCATCTGGTTCACTAATGTCCTTTAGGGAAAGAAACCGCCATCCTTACCTGGTCTGGCCTACATGTGACTCCAGACCCACAGCAATGTGGTTGACTCCGAATGCCCAACCACATAGGGATGGGCTATAAGTGCTACCTGGCCAGCGACGCCCTCATCTCGTGAATGAATAAAGGAATAAAGGAAATTATTGCTGTAACTGATTATATCCAATATATTTAAGAAATAAGGAAAACAAACAGTCTATACCACAACTATACAATGGGGTAAATGAACCTAAGCCTGAGCGTTTTGAAGAAACAAAACTACAAATGGTGGGATCAGGTGCAGTCTATGACTTCAGTCAACTGTAGTGGGGACAATCCATCACCAGAATTCAAATCATTGACGGGGATAGCTGTTCTCCGTGAAGAGCTTGATGGAAAGGCATTTACTGACTTGGATTCAGAAGAATGAAAGATGAAAAAGAATGAATCACCCCAGCCTCGGGTGACTGAGAGTTTGCACATTCTCCCCCTATCTGTGGGTTTCTTCCGATTGCTCCAGGTTTCTCCCACAGTCCAAAAGATGTGAAGGTTAGGGTGGATTGGCCATGCTAAATCGACCACAGTCTCCAGGGATGTGTAGGTTACGTGAATTAGCCATGGGGAATGTAGTGGTAGGAGTTGGGTCGAGTCTGGGTGGGATGCTGTTTGGAGGATCGGTGCAGACTCAATGGGCTGACAGCCTGCTTCCGCACTGTAGAGGTTTTATGATTCTTTCATTGAAATATATAAAATGTTTTGAGGGGGTTTGGCAGCATAAATTCCAAGAGGCTCTTTCCCTTTAATTGGAAAGGCCCTCGTCCAAATCAGATCATTGGTCCCATCCTGTTGACACTTATGGACCCCATTATCAGCACTTTTTTTCCCCGTTTTGGCATGTTATCATCCAAACTATCATTCTCTCTCCACCCATCTACTCACTACCCCAGTACTTATCCACTCACTCCTTCCATCCCACCCCATCTTCTACATATATACCAACTTTTCCCAGGTGCTATCAGTTCTGAGCAAGGCTCATTGGACTCAAAATGCTTTGTTTTTTTCTCCTCAAATGCTGAATTGCTCCAAATTTCTGTTTTTGTTTCAGAACATTGTGGATTCAAATCCCATAGGACTCAAACACAAGCAGCTAGATTGACACACCAATAACAAGAATGGACTCCACTGTCAGAGATAGGTCTTTCAGGTAAAATGCAAAACCAATGCGAGGGTTCCCCTCAGCTAGGCATAAAAAAAGATTCCACAGCAACATTCTGAAGAAAACTGGGGAAGTTATCCTGGTTGATTTTTATCTCTCAATACACATCACAAGAATAGATGATCTGTTCCTTATTACAGTTGAGTGTGGGACCTTGCTGTCTGCATGTTGTCAGCTGTGTTCCTTGCATTACCATAACTGCTACGCTTCAAATGCTGCACTTTTGAGATGCATGCTGGTCATGCAATTTGTTACATGAAGTGAAATGTTAACTTTCTGTCAGGTGGAGCACCAAGTATTGAGGGCCAGAGACTCTACACAAACAGCTTAGCCAGAGGATTAAGGTAGGGAGAAATTTCTTCATTTGTATGTTACGAATGCTTGTAATTCTCCACTCTGCGCTGTGATGCTCAGTCATTGAGTATGTTTGAGACTAGATTTTTGCACACCAAGACAATTACGGCAAAAAACCGAAAGAACTGCAGATGCTGGAAATCAGAAACAGAAACAGAAATTGCTGGAAAAACTCAGGAGATCTGGCAGCATCTGTGGACAGAAACCAGAGTTGATGTTTCAGGTCCAGTGCCCCTTCTTTAGAACTGACGACAGTTAGGAAAAATTTGGCATTTATGCAAAAGATAGGGTGGGTGAAGAGGTGGGGAGTAAATGATAAATGGAGATAGAGCCCAAAGAGAGAGAAAAACAGTTGGAAAGGAGTAGATAAAGAACAGCCTGGGAGAATGAATAGCTGCTAATGGGGACTATTATTAGCTGACAATGGGTTGTGTGTGGTAGCAGCCCATGTGATGACAAGACCTGGGGTGTGACGTGGGAGAAGATGCTCAAGCCTAAAATTGTTAAACTCGATACAAGTCCAGAAGGCTGCAGAGTTCCTAAGCAGAAAACGAGGTGCTGTTCTTCCAGTTCGCATTGAGCTTTGCTGGAGCACTGCAGCAAGCTTGAGACAGAGATGTTGGCCAGGGAACAGGGCGATGTTTAAAGCGGCAGGCAATTGGAAGGTCAGGGCGTTTTTTGTGTTGTTTAATTGGTTGTGGGTACGGGATCCCTTACATTCATCAGTAGCCGTTGCAGGGTGGCTGTTGGTTTGTGGGCTACTCTGATACCCTGATGAACATAAAGGATCCCATATCCACAACCAATAAAACTAATGTAATATACAAAATACCATGCAAGGACTGTGAAAAACATTACATAGGACAAACTGGAAGAAAACTGACAATAAGGATACACGAATACCAAGTAGCCATCAAGAGACACAGCCAATTAAGACCATAAGACATAGGAGCAGAAATTAGGCCATTCAGCACATTGAGTCTGCTCCACCATTCAATCATGGCTGATAAGTTCCTCAACCCCATTCTCCCACTTTCTCCCCGTAACCCTTGATCCCCTTGATAATCAATCAATCTCAGTCTTAAATGTACTCAATTCTCACTGGTCGTAACACACACGGACAAAGCAGGACACAAATTCAACTGGGACAACACATCCATAACAGCACAAGCCAGAGACATGCCAGGGAATTCCTGGAGGCCTGGTATTCCAACCGGAACTCCATCAACAAACACACTGAACTGGATCCGATGTACAAAACACTAAAAATAAAAAGAACCGGAAGTAATGCCAACCATCCCGGCAAACCGAGGCATGTAAATAACAAGCAGGACAGAACACCTACGCTTTATCAGAGGTGCACTGATGATGTTATCCAGCAGGGTGACAAAACGTCTGCAACCAAACCCACCAGCTTGGCGAGCAAGTCTACAACCTCATCCACAACCCGAGCTACAAACCTTCTCAAAAACTTTAAATGCTTCAAAAAGGGACAAGAGTACTTTTCCTAAACAAACAGTTACCTTGCTCAAAATTGCACTGGAGACATTTATGTTTGCAGATAAAAGCATAACAGATGGCATTTATTGTAGCTAAATGGCAACTGCAGTACACAAGAAACAACAGTCTTGTAAAATATTAACGAGAAAAACAAAATGAAATTCAACGAGACGAATTCACAGGGATGTCTAAATCACATCTCATTACGAAAGTAGTTTACTGTTCCTTTTTGAAGTGAAGTTTTAAAGACCTAGAACTGGTAAGAAATATTGTACCTTGCTGATTCTTGTTTCTGGCAGACTGATTCACTGGAGGGTCTGAATTTGCACAATCATCTGAACTCATGCTTCTCTTTCGTTTCCTGTGTTTTTTCTCGCTTTTTTGGTTCGCTTTTGTCTTGTGATTTTTCCTTTGCAGTTCTGATCCTTTAGGCCTTTCCAGTTCTTCACCCTCCAGTTCATTCCATCCTGAACAACTGGTAAGTAACATTGATCAATGCAAATCTTTTGTACTGAAGTCAAACACTGAACTGCATTTTAAAAATGTGTTACAAGTTCGGAACATCGTTTGAATCACAGAATCCCTACAGTGCGATAACAGGCCCTTCAGCCCAAGAAGTCCACACCAACCGTCAGAGCATCGCACCCAGACACATCCCCCTTTAACCCCCCTAATCTAGGCATCCCTGAACACTATGGGCAATTTAGCATGGCCAATCCACCTAGCCTGCACATCTTTGGACTGTGGGAGGAAACTGGAGCACCCAGAGGAAACCCACACAGACATGGGGAGAATGTGCAAACTCCACACAGACATTCGCCAGAGGGTGGAATTGAACCAGAGTCCTTGGCGCTGTGAGGCGTTTACTTTCTCACCATTTCATTTTCGTTGTGCAGAGTGAGAGTCATTAAAATAGCCGAGTTTTTCTATAATCAGGACTCCGCATAGTCTCATGTCCTAGCAAATTTATCCAATGAACAGTGGAGATACACAAAAGTCTAAATGTTTCATTCTCAATTTGCACCAGTGAACAGATGGGCCAGTGGTGGGATAAGTTAGCTGGCCTTAAATTCTGGTGGGCAAAAAAAGAATTCAACTAGTGTACTGATTGAAACGAAGTCAGCCAGGTGGACCTCAGAATGAGTTCCTTGACTGGGGCTGTTAACTTGGTCCAATCAGGGAGTTCTGGCTGACAGATAATAAGCATGACTTTCAGGGGCTCTGCTCAATCTAGGACCCTAGCTGGGTCAACGTCACGTTCTATGCACACGTAAATAAAAGGTGACTGATTGACTGGGTTTTTTGCCTTTGTGGAATTATTTCAACTAGACCTTCCATTTCTGCTCACGACAAAACTACTAGCCCTCAGCCTTTATTTTCTGGCATGAAAAGTTTGCACTGATCTGAGAAGTTAGCAAATCAGAAAATACCCATGCATATTTCTTGAGTGATGATCGAATAACAGCTTGGATAATAATTTTGTGACATTGCAAGTAGTAGTGACACCAAAGATATACTGGTGGTTTCCAGTAAGAGAGGAGCATTACATCATTAAGTTGCTGATGAGATGGCAGATAGAGCCACAGAGAACAGAAACAGACACTTTGGTCCAACCAATTCATGCCGAACGTAATCCCAAACTGAACTAGCGCCACCTACCTGCACTTCAAACATTTCTCATTCATATACTTTTAAACCTTGTAATTGTACCCACATTCATCACTTCGTCAGGGAGTTCATTCCACATGCAAACCACCCTGTGTTAAAAAAAATTGTCCCTCATATCTTTTTTAAAAATCTCTCACTTTAAAAATCCCCTAATCTTGAAATCCCCCATCCTAAAGGAAAAGACAACTACCATTAACTCTATCTATACCCTTTATTATTATTTTAACATTCAGCACATGAATTACAAAGAAATATTATTGAAGCAGGGTTTTCCTGCTTCTGGGGTCAGGGGTTTCTTACTTTTGAATAAATGCTTTGGCAAACCTAACCAAATTACTCCAAAATTAGAAAATGATATTCTCTGTCTCATGGCAGCATTGTCTTCTGCTGAGGTTCACAAGGAGGACTAGACCCAGAAACAAATGCCTACATGAACTGCATTAAGAACATTTTTATACCATTCCAGACTGTCTCTTCAGATACTCCTGGGATTTAAGGTTGCTATGGCAACCCTACTCGTGGTTTTATGCAAGTATGTTGAACTTAAGAGCTAAAAGTGGTAAATAACTGCCCATGAGAGAGACACTGACTTGGAGTATGTAAAATAATCACTACTCTACCAAAACATGAACAGTCATATTTATGTACTTTTCCACAGCAGACTCAGTAGGGTCATTTCCTTCAAACGCCTCTCTGTATTTTTTATGCTTCTTCCTTTTCTTCTTCACTTTTTTTGGGATCAACTCTCCTGATGAAACATTGCTCTTGACAGATTCCTCCTGCAATAAATCATCCAATTCAGTAACCATTTCACTGAATCATTTTAGACCTTTTGCATTAAAATTAAAGAAATGTTTTAAGTAATGACAATGTGATGAGAGTAAAACAAATTTCATCACTTGGTACGAGCAGCCGCTGTATTCTGTGTGGATTCCACTCGAGTCTGTTCACAAGTCAATTTGCATGAAAGTTGGAACACAATGCAGGACAATGTAAAGGAGCTACTTTTAAGTATTGGAACTAAGTCGGGTCTTGAAAATTATATCCCTTCGTGAGGTCACATTCGTTAATCAGAGACCCCCTGTGTATTTGTTACCATGAAGACAGCTTAAAACTGTCTTTTAAAAGTTTTGTTCAAAATAACAATGCAACAAACCAGACAACCAAGTGGTGAAGGATAGGACTGAAGTCAATCATTAGAATTGACTATTTAGAGATACACAGTACTAGCACGCATCTCCTAACCCAACGACGATTGTTTTATTCTACTCGTATTTATAGGAAAACAATCACATCCCTTGTTAATGTCAAACATCTGCTTATAATTAAGCAAAAATAACATACAATTACCAGCATCATCATACATAATGTTGACATATAAAATTGGTTTAATAAGATATAATTAAACTTAATGTAGTAATCTGTATTAATTATATATTGGTACTCCAGATACAACTGTAAAATTTTTATAATTAAGGTAAAACTGTTTCTAGTAGGCTGAATAACTACAATGCTGATCCACTTTGCTGCAACTGAGAACATTTGGGGAACTCAGAATTGATATGAAAAGGTCTAGCACTTCAATCCATTGCTGCTATGGAATAACATTTTCCAAAGCAGTTGCAAGCTTGAGTTGCCCATAGTCTTGGTGGGTGATGGAAGTTTCAAAAGAACTGGAATACAAAAAACTAACCACCTTTGTATGCTCGCTTGGGTGCGTTTGTGTCAGTCTTTGGAGGAGGGCCAGGGTAAAGACAGAATATAGAGTGGTAAAAGGTAGATGCTGATGGGCCACAGCCAATGCCAAGAATGGAGGGGAAGCAATGATGGAGCAGGGAGTCATCCCATGTACCTCCTTATTTCAGTTGCATCCAGTTCTCAACAGTAACTGCTGGGAAAAGCTGCTCACTCCTGGACATTTAATACCTGATTCATGAACAAGCATGCAAGTCACTGAAGTAGGCTGACCATCACACTTGTAAGACTGATTCATCTCCAGGAAAAATGAATTAGCTGGAATATAATTCTCACTGGAGGACTAGAAAAAGAGAACACCATCTCAATCTGTTCCTTTAGTAACAGTGAAACTGATATATTGACTCAATTTTCAAAGGTCCAATAACCTACCTGAAGCCAGTCACAAACACCATTATTCTCCGCTGTTTCACGTCGCTTCTTCTTTCTCTTAATTTTACCATCAGTCTTGGCAGCATCATCACATGTTGTCTGGTTGAATGATTCAGAATCAAAAGAAACTGCAACTCTTTTTAAATGTTTACGCTTCTTCTTAGGTTTCTCACTGCTGTCCCCTGATTCCATACAGCTGTCAATGCAGTGTGTGTGTGTCTTATCGGTTAGCTCAGTCTTGGAAGTACACATTTTACTAATACCTTGACCAGATAAAGAATGGTTTTTCAATGAGGTAGCACTGTCATTTACTAGAGCAGAGGGCTGCCAAGCTGCTTCCATGGTTTCCAATGATCTTCGCTGCGACTGAGAGAAACTAGAACTACATGACTTCTTGGAGATTTTAGATGGAGAACTAAATCCTGTTTGTTGGGAAATCTGCACTTTTGGAATAGATGGGAAAGTCCTAAAAGTGAAGACAAAATTAAGAATTGTATTTCATGAAATTTGATTTTAATTTCAAAGAATCATTTTCTTAAATGTCACAACGGTGGGGTGTAAGTCTGACAGGAATGCTCTCGAGACACAATGGGCCAAAAGGTTCTCAAACATATTCGCTCGGTGCCTGAAGAGCTAAAATAACCAAAATGTTTAATTTACATCTGTTTGTGTCATATAGACATCACTGGCAAGGCCAGCATCCATCATGCAATCCTAATTGTATTTAAGAAGATATCAACAAATTTTTAAAACCACTTCTCCATTCATACATGGAATTGTGTTTCTTCTTGCGAACATGCATCTTACACTAAAACGGACATTTAGGGCTTTAAACACATGGGAAATATGTTGAAAATACTGTTGAGAACAAAACCGAACTTAATTAACTGTGTCTGTAGTAAATCAAATCATAAACCATCTTTTTGGAAACCCAAGTAAATAAAATCTCATTAATGAATAACTTTATTCAGATCAGAAAGAAATACAGAAAATTCTTAGGTCTAAGTGCAAAAATACTTACAAGAAAATGCAGCAAATTTACCTTGTGTAATATTGTCTTAAGTGTTCTGTGCTTTCATTAGGTTATTTTAAACCAGCTTCTATAAACATGGAGTCACTCAATACTCTGTTGCCCAAATTCCATTCTTCACCAGAATGCATTTACTGATATACAATGGTCACAGGTCTTCTGTTGCATTCAAGTCTGCTTACGACCTTCTTCCTCCCTACCTCTGACCATAGCAAGCCCTGCGACACCAACTTTACCAAAAACTCTTCATCCCTTCAGCCCTTGTATAAACTTCCAGTATCAGCTGTGATACGCTCGCCTCTGTGTCAGGTCATGGATTCAAGTCCCACTCCAGTGCTCGAGCATATCAATCCAAGATGAAGTCCCAGTCCAGTGCCAAGCAAGTGTTGCACTGGTGGTACTGTCTTACGGACAGATGCTAAACCTGACCCTGTCTGCTGTCAGATGGATGTGCAGAATACCTCATCACTAATTTGAAGATGAGCGAGGGAGTTCTTCTCACCAACATTTAACAAAAAGCTGATCATCTGGTCACTGCTACATTGCAGTTAGTGCAGTTTCCTGTGGTGAAGTTGGCAGCTACATCAAGTACAATTCAAAGCACTTAACATGCCTTTACAGTTAATGGCTGTGAAAGGTACAACAAAATCCAAGTCTTTGTCTCAGCAATGGTGCCGAGACTCTCTAATTCCAACCCTAAACTTCTGCACATCTCTTCACCCTGCTAGACTTTTTTAAAAAGCCTCCACAAGATCAATTCTAAAAACCATACGGTCTTGCATTCTAACAAACAGCTTCTGAGCTAAAACCTTAAGCCTGCATCTCCCTTCACAGATGCTGCCAGACCTGCTGAGCTTTTCCAGCAACTTTGTTTTTGTTCCTGATCTAATTTTACATCTGTGATGACCTTGGCCTTTCTTTGGGGCGTTGAAAGCACTATACAGTTATCTTAATATTGTCAAGGAACGAGCAGATGCACGTGTCCTTCTCAAATAAGAACACCAATTAATAAGTCAAATGGTTTCATTGGAATAATTGATTAAAACCACTTGCAGCCTTGTCCACTAGCACAGCTTTACTTTAAATGATGGACGCTTTATTCAGTAAGCAGTAAAAATTTCTCTTACCTAGTTTTGACTGCAGAAGAAAAGATGTGGCCTTTTTTCATTAATTTTGCTTTGTGGGCTGATGATAGTGATGGAGAATATGGTTCATTTTCTGTCACCTTCCAGCTGTAGGTGGCCTGCAGTTATTGACATAAATAAAAACTTGGTGGTCTGAAAAGTATCCATGAGTGCAGAAAACATAAAAGAGGGTATGGCAAAGAAGAATCAAAAAGTTTCCATGATTAGACAGCTAGGGAAGCAAAGTAGGAAAACAACAGACAAGAAAAAGTCAAAACAACTTCCAGTTACTGACCAGGAAAGAACATTTGCAGTTTTAGACCAGAAGTACTAGACATGAACAAAGAACAAAATTAGAAGAATAAACATGTCTGTCAGCATCTGACTTGTACTTTTTACATATGAAGTGAACTGATCACTTAATGGCTTCTCTATTTCCACACAACAGCTTCTCCCCACAGATTAATATCAAACTAACTGCTCTGGCAAAATGGCAAACATCATGTGCAATTGACTGGAGACACACAATTTGGTTTTGATGTAACATTTAATTGCTGAAATATCTTGAAGTAGGTTCAATACAAATGACCCATTAGCAAAAGGTGAAAGCTGTTTGACAGCGAAGTGTGCTGTCAGACTGGCTCACATAGGTCATGAATATTGCAAGTTCACAGATTATGAAGGGCAAGCGTTCAACCTTTGGCCTGTTTTTAATCAGCCATCCAGATTTGAAGATTACAGGAACAATGATGAGATTTAGTGTTCTTGTCACAGACAGGGGAGTGGAGTCTAAAAAAGCTCCTGTACAAAATCAATGTCATTAACCTTCACTGGAAAGCAACACAGATTCTGGACAAGGTGACATTCATCATGATCCAATAACCTACTGACACAATTCTGGATACACATGTGGCATGATCATTTGGGTAACTCGGGTAACTCATTTGGAGGATTGCGAATGCCAGTGAAATGGTATCGAGCACAAATCAACACCTTAAGGAAGGGGAGCTAAAACAAAATTGCTGGGAATCCCACCCCCAACTCAGAGAGACTGAAGATGCTCAAGAACATAACACTGGAATATCACATTAAGTTAAATAATGCAATAGTTCAAGAACAAAATCTGTACGACTACGAAGAGTCAGTGTTAAAAATCAATGATTACTTCCAGAGCATGACTTTACACGAGAAACAAAATATTCCTTCAATCGTTGTTCACAGTTAAGCACAGTACCCCGAACTTCATGTTGCAACTGTTTCTTTTTAGACACCAGGAAAAGAAGAGAGCTTTGTTTCATTCTCAAGGGATGACAGAGTTTGCTCTAGACATTTTTGAAGCAATTCCAAACAGCAATCATATGCTTTAATACCAGGTTCAATTCTTTTTGCAAAATTAAACCAAAATTACAATATAGAAACGCAGATTGGTCCAACATGACCATGATCAGTATTGATGTGTCAAATTCCCCAGGTGCATGTCTTGCTGCCCTGTCTTTTTATGATACAGAACTGGGTGGCAGGATGAATGGCGAGGAAGATGCAGAGATGCTTCAGTGTAATTTGGACAAGTTGATTAAGTGGGCAAATGCATGGCTGATGACATATAATGAGGACGAATGAGAGATTATCCACTGTGGCTGCAAAAACAGAAAGGAAGATTATCTGAATGGCAACAAATTGGAAAAAGTGGAGATGCAACGAGACCTGGGTGTCTGCGTACACCAGTCACGGAAAGTAAGCATGCAAGTGCAGCGGGGATGAGGAAAGCAAATGGCCCCTTGGCCTTTATAGCATGAGGTTTGAAGAAGGGAAGCAGGAATGTCTTGCTACAACTGTTCAGGGCCTTGGTGAGACTACACCTGGAGTAGTGCGTGCAGTTCTGGTGTCCTTATCGGAGGATGGATGGAGGAAATGCAACAAAGGTTTACTAGACCGATCCCTGGGGTGACAAGACTGACACAGTGAGAAAGACTGGATCAGTTAGAACTATATTCATTGGGGTTGAGAAGGATAAAGGGGAATTACATAGAAACCCATAAAAGTTCTGACAGGACAAACACAGGATGTTCCCATTTACCAGGGAGTCCAGAACCTGAAGTCACAGTCTAAGGATTTGGGGAAGCTTTTTAAGACTGAGACGAAAAGAATTTTCGTCACCCAGAGCACGGTGAGCCTGCGAAATTCTCTGCCACAGAAAACGGGACCAGGGTAGAGTTGGATGATCGACCATGGTCATATTGAATGGCGGAGCAGGCTCAAAGGGCTGAATAGCTTACTCATGCTCCTGTTTTCCATGTTTATGTTTCTTTTCATCATCTACCTAATTTATTCTGCTATACCAAACTAAGTTTGTGTTTAAAAGTCTGTAAAAATGCTCATCTTCCTCACCGTTAATCCTGCCATTTAATCTTGTAACCACATGGCATCAACCAATGAACTTAAATAATTTTGATATCTCCTCCACTCCCTTTGTAATTCTGGTTATGTAAAATTATTTATTTGATGACTTAGGTGGAAATTTCTTCAAAAAAAAAAAAAGAGACTTCTGCCTAGCTAAGTTACTTTTATAATTTGAACAGATGCATGATCAAGTGCGCCTTCTCAAACTATGTTAATATAAAAATATGAAAATATGAAAATAGACACTGGTTGTGTTCTTTGATACCAAATAAACTTTAATCAAACAATTTGACATTCAAAAAAAAAGTGGCGATTACCCAAATGGAAAGAGCTCACAAAATACCATAAAATGGATCATTTAGTCCACCTCACCCATTTTTCTCCTTCCCATTCAATTACACTTTATCTAGTCAATAATGAAAGCTAACCCACAAACACAATCTCCCAAGAGGTGCAAACAGCCACAGATATAGACGAGAAAACCCATTTCCAAAGTTCTCCTCAATTTGATATGAAATTGGCACACCCATGTCCATTATCACTATCAGAGAATCAAAACTTGATAAGATTTGTGAACTTCAGCATCACTTTCCTGTTATTCCATGGAAATGAAATTAAATACTAGCTTTCAAACAAGAAAACATTCGCAATGACATCAACAAGCACATGCAACTAGCTCTCATTTTATGTCTGTAAACCCCTCACAAGCTAACCTTCAAATTCAATCTTGAACAGTGAAGGAGGCATTAAATAAGACCGAGTGGTATTCACAGAAATGGGAAGATGAGAGGATTGGGCTAGCTACATCAATTCAACTTTTAATAGAAACAACAAAGCTAAGCCACATTCGCTCACAACAACGAACATATAGACATAAAGAAGATAAACATAAAATGGAGGGGGTTTTTGGTATTAACGAGAAATGTTTAGAATTAACAATATGACAAAAGGATGACATTTTAAGATAACGTGCAGATTGTGAAAACTGCCTTGGTCAGCGGAATTAAGGTATTAAAGTAGATTTGCTGCCTGTGGTGAAGATATGTGTACAACAATATACACCAGTGACTGATTTTATTTATATAAAATCTTTAGCACCGTCAAATTTGCAAATGCTTCTAAGTAAAAGCATCTTTTATCGTCAAAAAGCCGGGAGTTAAAAAACATCCTTTCCTAAACACTGAGATCTAATGAAGTACTATCACCATCATGCATTAACACAAGTACAAACTCATAACTGGTATGATTAAATGTTAATTTATATGTCCACCTGAAAACAATGCAACTTGGAAACATCATATAAAGCCACCAGAGTCCCAAAGGACCATAAGGATGTTCTCAGAGAAAGAGATAATTGGCAATGAGTTTAACCTGATGGTCACCACTCCAGGTGAAGGGCAATATTGACAAGACAGGACCTTCATAGTGGTCTCAGCCAGCTTCAGAATTGAACCCATGCTGTTAGCATCACTCAGCATTACTAACCACCAGTCCAGTGAAGTGAGCTAACCAACTCCCAACATATAAATATTTAGATGCATAACAATTCCTGCACCCCACAACACACACCCACCTTTTTGGCTGACAGTGCAAGCCTCTTAGCTGGAGGTGGTGACATTGTGCTGGACTGCTCTTCTGCAAGCAGCTGGGGCTTTACTTTGGACACTCCCTGATCCTCAGCACTACTCTCAGTCCTCTCATTGGCTGAGCTGTGTGTTTGAGATTCTGAATCCGACTCTTCGGGCTCAGAGTGTTGGTTATTCAATCCATTTTTTGCAACACTGCTCCCATTCAAACTGTGTTTCGCACTGCCAAAATCTTTCTGCAGGTTATGGACGTCTTCTTTTCCTTTCTGCTCAGATCCACCAGTTAACAATGACTTGAATGAGGTAGATGTAGGTAATTCCTTGCTTTCTGGTGCAGTCACCTTTGCATTTTCTGATACTGATGTTCTGCCACTACTTGAACTACTTGCTGACTGGCCCTGAGAAGATTTTGGTTGCAGCTGAGGTAAAGATTTCTTAATCTTCTTCAATGACTCATCTATGAAGGTTGGCGCACATGTTGGTTTCACTGGAAGCTTGGGGGACTGGTTAGTGCTGTTTCTTGGGACTGGCACACCAACACTTGCAGAAGCTTGCAACTTTACTTGCAGAGACTCCGGTTTCTGCACAATAGATACAATACAGTTACACATATGCCAGTATATCATCTTCATAAACAAAGGTGGATCTAGGAATCAGAAGTACAATTCCAAAAAATTACAAGGTACCAACTTGTGTTTTTGGAGGGCGTGGGGTGGAGTTAGTTTAACACAAGAAGGACATCTACAGTTTTAGCAAAGATCTGTAGCTCGGGTTGTGGGTGAGGTTGTTGACTTGCTCGCCAAGCTGGCTTGTTCTCATTCAGATGTTTTGCCACCATGCTAAGGTATCATCATCAGTAAGACCCCCAAGGAAGCAATGTTGTTCTACTCCACTTGGAATTTATACTGTCCAGACCATTATGGTGAGTAGTGTCATTTCCAGTTTTGTTCTGTATACGTTTGTATACGAGGTCCAATTCTAAATGTTTGTTAATTGCCTCATGGATTGAGAATCATGCCTCTAGGAATTCCAGTGCGTGTCTATGTTTGGCTTGGGCTACTGTAGTTACGTTGTCCGAGTATACACTTGGACATGGTTTTCAACCCATAAGGCAATCAACAAACATACAGAATCAGATCAAAACCGGAAATAATACTCTTCCCTATAACGGACCAGACAGTATAAATTCCAAGTGGAGTAGATCAACATCGCTTCATTGGAAGCCTCACTGATGATGTTACCTTAGCATAGTGACAAAATGCCTGAACGAAAACAACGCAGCTCAGTCAGCAAGTCAACAACCTCATAACAATAAACAATAGATTTTGGTACAATGTTCAAGTAGAAAGAGTTAACAGCAATAATCTGACCATTAATTAATAATACCGTCCTGAGTTTTTTTAAAAAATCCTGTAAAAGCCCCCTGGTTGGTACTGAGGATCAGCTTATTTGGAGGCTTTTGATACACAGCCTTATGAGGAGATAAAGTTACAGCTCATGGAATAAACAGGATAACAGCAACATGGATACAAGATTATCTGAGAGACAGGAAACAGAGTAATGGTTTCTGGCTATTTAACAGGCTGGAGAAAGGGTTGTAGTGGAATCTCACAGCAGCTGGTATTAGGGCCCGTCCTTTTCTCGATTAACATTAATCTTCTAGATCTTGAAATGAAGGGGAGAATTTCCAAGTGTGCGGATAATACAAAATTTGGAAGCGTTGCAAACTGTGAGCAGGACAGTCTAGTACTTCAAAGGACAGTGAAAGTTGCTGGAGTGGACAGATGAAGTTCAATCTGGAGAAATGAGAGCTGATATATTTTTGTAGAAAGAGACAGTACAAAATTAAGAGTGCTATTTTGAAAGCTGTGCAGAAGCAGAGAATCCTAGATGCATGCACATTATTAAAAGGTGGCAGAATAGGTAGTGAGAGCAATTATTAAAATATACCATAATCCTGGGTTTTACCCAAAGGAGGCATAGACTACAAGAGCAAGGAGATTATGCTGATCTTGTCTATGACAAGAGTTATACCTCAATACAGTTCGGAACACCTCACTTCAGGAAGGATGTGAACACAGTTGAGAGACTGCAGAAGTAGATTTATAAGAAAGGTTTCTCATCCCTGGAACCAAAGTTGAGGATAAATTGGAGAAGGTGGGATAGTTTTAGGGGAGACTGTTCCCACTTGGAAAAAGGACGGAGAACAGGAGGGCACAGACTTTAACTACTTTGTGACAGGAGCAAATATGATATGAGAAAATCTTTAACAGAGCGAGAAGAGGGGTTCTGAAATGCATCGCCTAGAAACAGTCAAGGAAGGTTCAATCAAGGCATTTATGAGGGCATTACATAACAATTTGAATAGGAACAATGTACAGTTTTACAGAGTTAAGATAGGAGAAAGGCACTAAGTCTTTGAGAGAGCTGGTACAGCCATGATGGGCTGAATGGTCTCCTTCTGCATCACAATAATTTGGAGATTCTGGGTATGAAAATAATAGTCTCCTTTAAAGTGCTGTGTTGCTTCAGGTACAACTTAAACCAAGAAACTCTATAAAGCTTCAGGTGTTTTTGAAATTTTAATTTCAGTTTTGGACGACTGAGACCTTCCTTAATCTCACCCAAGAGTTCAAATCCAAGAAAGTGTATAACTTTTCATAAAAACCTCTGAGCTCTCTTGGTTGAATATCTGCTCCAGCAGGTAGCCATCAGCTGGGACTGGTGGACTACTCCATAAATATCTAAATTCCTCACATTGTCTAAACCGAGTTTGTCTGAAATCTAAAGATGGCTTTGAACAAATTTTGTATTTTAATTGATTCACTGAACTTTATCAACCAGTTCTGACATTTTTCCTGTTTAATAAACCTGACTGAAGTTGTCATCTGAGATATTCAAATCCAGAATTTATTTTACAAGAGTTGAACATACCAAGAGATTTATAGTATTTACTGGCTTGGATTTTCCAAAGGGCAGAAAATCGTTATTCTGGTATAGGTGGATGTTGTGCATGAGGACCCTGCGGAACCCCCATTATAGCAGATTCTAAAAGGAATTGCCTGGGAAAATGACCTGGCAATGTCTCTACACTTGGAGCCCTCTGAAAGTGTCTATTTAAATTGGAGAATTCAAAGGGTTCTGCTGAAATTAGTAAATAATTACTCACAAACCGTTAGTGATTAAACCAAGTCCAAGTAACCACTAAGCTGATATCTACCTTACCTCACACACGCAAACTACGCCTCCCTCAGACTCCGAACATGCTTCAGACTCTGACCTGACATCCACCTTGCTGTCGCACAACCTGACACATCCGGCCACTAGACCTGACAGACAACACACCCCTCCCCAGTGGCTTGGACAGCCCAGTTCTGGAGCCGAACACCCTTTCCTGCCACCAGATCCAGTCTCCCCCAACTCTGGACCTTACAGTCCTGCAGTCTTAACTTGCAATAGGACCCAACAATTCCTCCTTCCCCCCATCACATTGGACCCACTCGCCAACTCTCGTGCTCCAAAATGGAAGTAAGACTGGGAGTTTCTGAAGGAGTCCAGAGTGAAATCTCCTGTCATAGACATGGACTCCTTTTGTTCCTTAAGAAAGGGACAGAGTGGCAACTTACATGAGATTGCCATTCTACTGAAAATCTGTCTAAACATTTCCAAGCTTTATCAGTAGAATAAGTTGCATTGTGCAACCCGTTATCTCAGGTTGCATTGCGTACAACACAAATTCACATTTCTTTTCAAATGGAGTTGCTCGTGGAAGAGCATCTTGGTGTTGAAATTCAGACGAAACACCTGAAATACATTTGAACTGCAGTACCTTTTTTCAAGAAAAAGTTGGGACTAGCAAGATTTTCTGCTACATTTTCCATCAATTATAGAAGTCTCATTAAAGCAGGTCATTTTCCCATCACTCTAGTCCAAGTGTTGTACTCTCTTGTTCTTACACAATAATGTATGACAGCTGATTTCAGCATTTCTTAAAATACAATGTGCTGTTAGTGACACAATTAATAAACTGACCTTTGTCATCTGAGGTGAACTCAAATATCCATTCAGTGCAGGCTTCTTGGGCATGGTTGTGCCATTGCTGGTTTTGGCAAGGGTCTGTATCAGGTTCTGCTTAGGTGCATCATCTACGCTGCTCTTAGAGTTTGGCATTCTTCAGGGCAAACCAAAAAAAAACCCACAATAATATTTCACAATTTTGCAAAAGATGAAATTGCAAATAAACATATGCATTTCACTATTTAGGTCAAGTAAGAGTTTGTTAAAAAGCACAAGCTACACAACATTAGGCACACAGTGAATGATTATTAAGTATGAAATAGTTGGCAACATTAATGTAATGGTTCATTTTCATTTAATTATCAAATATATTGGCAAATTATTTCAAGACTAATTATCTTCAACTTTTGTGTAAAATGCCTTGTGGGTTACAGTGCAGTGGCATTATTATTCAGTTGCCAAATACACTCTTCTTTATTACAAATTGAAAGCAAATAAGAAACCAAAGATAGAAAATACTAACAGAAGAGGCATGAGCCCTCCATCAACCGGTCATCATTATTATTATCTGTGTTCACCAATTCTCCTGGATTCGGAGAATAAAAACTGCGGGATTTATCCCTGGTTTCTTCAAGTACAACAACCATGGGCCTGGTCTCAGGAATCAAAGACCATAGATATTGGAGCAGAATTATGCCTTTTGGCCCGTCAAGTATACTCTCTCATTCGATCACGGTTAATCACACTTATAAACTGCTGTGGAAGAACACAGGTTAGCTTTTGATGCTGAAGGTTAGTCTTCTATCTAATTTCCTTTCTGTTTATTATCAAACTAAGACTAGAAACTCAACAAAGCATGAAGGGATACAGTGAAAAACACCAGGAGGGGAAACATAGAAGGCCAAAGGGAAGATCAAAGACAAAATGTTTATTTAGTGCGTAACATATCTTCCCCTTCTTAAGATTGAGAAATATAAGGTCCTCCTTCGCTCTATTTGAATATTATCTGATAACTAATCATTTTGCAAGACCCAATTATTCTGTTTTTGGTCACTTGAATTTCTATTTACATTGATTACTCTCTCATAGCTTCCTCTCCAAATCCCCAGTCTGTCAAACAAATGTTTGTTCATTATCAATGGCCCAACTTGACCCCAAGTAACTTTACTGACATGCATTTATCGTTGAAGTTTATCACTTAGTTTTTACACAAATACCAAAATCAGAAATTTATAAATAAATTTCAAGAAAGTATTATGAAAGAACAAGATCATACAAACAAGAAAGTGCATTTACTAACACCCACCTCAAGTAGAAAAGTACGTAAGCCTGTTGATTCAGCACCACCTTGATATTGCTAGAATGAACCATTGAGTCATTCATCTGATACCATTGCCCATTACTGGCCTGAAAAAAAAATGTAACGGGTAACACTGAAGTCCTGGATAAATTGTTATGTGAAGTTCTTATTATTAGCAAAGTTTGCTCAACTGATTTTTTTTTTTGTTCCAATATCCAGTTACATTTAATCTTAGGATGGATATTCCATTTTTGAGGTCGCAGACATGTTCGCCAAGCCAACGGGTTTGGTTGAAAACGTTTCGTCACTCTGCTAGGTAACATCGTCAGCGTGCCTCTAGTGAAGCATCGGTGTTCTGTCTTGCTTGTTATTTATATACCTCAGTTTGTTGGGGTGTTTGGTACCACTTCCAGTCCTATTTCTCAGTGGTTTTGTACACAGGGTCTAATTCAATGTGTTTGTTGATGGAGTTCCGGTTGGAATACCAGGCCTCCAGGAATTCTCTGGCGTGTCTCTGTTTGGCTTGCGCGATAATGGACGTGTGGTCCCTGAATTTGTATCCCTCGTTGGCCGGGTGTAGTGAGACAAGTGAGAATTGGTCGCATTTCTTGTCTCACTACACACTACCAACGGGGACAACACATCAATAATCGCACAAGCCAAACAGAGACATGCCAGGGAATTTCTGCACGCCTGGTATTCCAACTGGAACTCCGTCAACAAACACACTGAATTAGATTCTGTGTACAAGCACTGTGAAACAAAACCAGAAGTAATACCAATCACCAACGCTTCACCGGAGACGCACTGACAATGTTACCTAGCAGGGTGATGAAACTTTTCAAACCAAACCTACTGGCTTGGCCAGCATGTCTACAACCACATCCACAACCTGAGCTACAAATATATTCCATTTATGATTAAAAATAAAATCTCTCTCTTTGTATAATCAAATCAATGAACACCTATAATTTCACAGGATATTATTTATCAAAACCAGAGAAGGCTGCAAGTTATTTTCATATAAATAAGAAGTACATAATTTATAGCAAAATATGACCTAGTTGTGCAGAAGAATCCTGTACATTTTTTTTTTTTTTAATAACAGAAACTGATGTGTACTTGCTTTTATTTTACATTTTAAATAACCAAGGTATCACATTCAAAAGTACCAGCATTTAACTTCACAACTAAGTCGGATTACTTAAGACTAAATATGGTGTAGAATAAATTTTAAAAATGAATGCAGTACTACATATTTAAGACCAACTTTTCTGAATCAACTTCTAACAAAATAACTGGAGATTCAGAATTCTGGATTCTCTCCATGAATCAGTTGCAAATAAGAAAGCAAGTTTGGGTTATCACTCCAACAGTTAGCGAGGGGCTGTTTCATAAACCAAACTGACAACCCAATTATAAACAAATTGCTACACAAAGGTGGCTGTAGACAAATACAGACTACTTCAATAAGAAATTTCCAACATTTCAAAAAGCAGTGGTAACTTTGGCTCAGATTTTTAATGCGTTTATTAGCGGTGCAATTCTCACCTTGACATAACAGTAGTAGTGTCCTGCATGACAACTATATCCAGAATGCACCAACACTGCATACAATCCATAATTGACTGGCTCACCATTACTTTGGGACATATATGGACGCATATTCAAATGTTCAGGATAACCAACATCCTATCAAAATTCCAACAGTCAAAAATATAATCAAGTTTTCACAGTTAAATTTATTTCCCAATGTAAAATATACATTAAATGGACCAAATGTAATCAAGTAAATACTCTCAAGCAAATTGCTACTTAATCCATATTAGCTCATTAAGAGGTTCATAGATTTTCTGTAAAGAGGACTGATCAGCAAGAATTTTTCTTTTACTTAAATGATCATTAAGTAGAATGGTTTTAAATAGCTGCAAAATTTACAATCCCTGCATTATATCCAGTACCTCCATATTCGATTCTTTGAAATTTTGCAAAGCAACTATGCAGAAATCTTGCAACAGCAAATGTTAATTTCTTGTGAATGAGCTACAGAGCTATTGCATACAGCACTGAATTACACATCTAAGGACTACTCTTCTGAAAGAGAAACATGTTTTACAGAGTAACAAGACAAAATGGTCACTGAAAGCTTCCAATAGCAAACTGAACTTTGCTTCACCTTTGTGATTTTACCACCACTGAAGTTTGCAAATCGTTTCAGGGAAAGGGTCAACACATTTGAAGCTCTGTGAATGGAAAAGCGTTTGGTAGCTGGAACCTTCTTCTTGCACCTAAATAAAGAGTTATTTGTTGGAGTCATAATTATTGTCTAGAAGCCGTTACAGCAAAATCAGAGATATTATTGTGGACCACTGCATGAAGGACAGTAACACATATGAACATATAAACCAGGAGCAGAGATGGCTATTATGCCCCTTGATCCTGCTCCACCTTTCAATTGATGATGGCGGATGGCTGTAACCTCATCTCCACTTTCCCCCTTCCCACCAATAATATTTTAACCACGTTCTCTGCCTGAAAAATATTCAAACCAACAACATCCTTTCAGGTACAGATCCAAAGACTCAAACCCTCAGTCAAAATTTCTCATCATCCCTATCTAAATGACTGACTGCTTATTTTTAAACTGTAACCCCTAATTCTACCCTGTCAAGACCCCCAGGAATTTACAGGTTTCAATGAAGTCAGGTCTTACACTTCAAAACTCCAATGGATAGAACTTCGTTCCTCAGAAAGAAGTCCATATTCAGGGAGCCTTATAGTTCTACATTCCCAGAGGTTTTAATTTGTAATATTTCTTTCAAACATATTTTACTAAATTCACCCAACTGTAATTACTTGCAAATATTTGTTCCTAAATGTATTCTCCCATTGCTGTACTGGACACTGCCTTTTACAAAATGAAATGGACTCTGCAATAATCAAATAGTGAGGCAAAAAGGGTGTATCCTTGCAGCCAACCATATGAAACTTTGTTACAAAACAAGTGGCTGCATTAATGCAAAGGGCGAACCAGTGACCTGGATGCACAGGTAAGCCACCATCCTGTTCCGTATGGCACATAGTATGGGAGGAACCAGAGGAACAAATGTGTGGGGAGTAAGCAGATGAAATCACTCCCATTGTCAAGATGAAAGCACGTCACAGAGTCATACAGCACAGAAACAGACCCTTCGATCCAACTAGTCCATGCCAAACATAATCCCAAACTAAACCAGTCCCACCTGCCTGCTCCTGGCCCACATTCCTCCAAAGCTTTCCTGTTCATGTACTTATCTAAATGTCTTTTAGACGTTGTAATTGAACCCAACACTTCTCAGTAAGTTCATTCCACATGTGAACCACTCCGGTAAAAAAAAAAGCTGCTCCTCATGTTTTTTTAAAATCTTTCACCTCCCACCTTAAAAATTTGTTGCCCAGTCTTGAAATTCCCCATCCTAGTCAAAAGACAACTACCATTAACACTATCTATACCTCGTTATTATTTTCACATTTAGCACATGGATTACAAAGCAACATTATTGAAGCTGCGTAAAATATCTCTACCCGAAGGACATGCATTGTGTTTCTTCACTCATGCACATATTGCTTCAAGCAGGAAACATGCTGGACAACATGATCTATGTTAAATCAACAAATTCTGCACTGAAAGTGTATTAAACTCAACATAAAGACAAGGCCAAAAGCAGCACAAGAACGAGACAGGTCACTAAGTCACCAGTATAATAGCTTCAGAAGTTGATGGGATAAATATTTCTTGACATCTTTGCGTCCCAAATCAGCTATTTTAGCACAGAGCCCAAACCTGGACCTATCCAAGTTTCACATGTGACTGCCTATCAGGCATCACTATGTGGCGATCAGGAATGAGCTTGAGCAGAGTAACTGTGATCAATTATTATCATATCATTTGCCTAGTGGAGGCTAAATAATGAAGCTGGGGCCCAAACCTTCAGGAAAATCCACAGGACAAGTGCAAACGTTTTGAAAACTACTTACTTTGCACACATATAAGCATTCTCGCCACTGAGAAAATCAGGCTTCACAAAGAGTTCGAGGGCTCTGATAATATTGGGTGCCTGCTGAGAGACAATTGAGAAAGAGTCAGACCAAAAATTAATTGCACAATCATTTACTTTTAAGAAAAAAAAGGAGGCAAACATAACTTTATATATATGCTCTAAGCAGCAACTGTTATTAATCAAGACACCATCACAATTTCTACATCATCAAAATAGTTGCAATGGTCCAAAGAAAATCTGTAAAGACTACACTCTCTAGTAACTACCTGTATTACTGTATAGTGTATACTATTGTGGTAGTATTCTCTTCTACATAAAATACTGAACAGATATTATAACACGTGACTCGTGTGAATTCAGTACGTTTCAGCAGAACAAGATAAAATGCCGGGAGCATGTTCGTGTGAAACAGTGGAACAGAGGAAGAGCCCAACATCGTAGGTAGTCACTGCCTTGCAACATTTTGTCTGTACTGTTCATGTGTGCACGCACACGGGTGCATCACAATTCACTCAGTTAAAAGTTGCTGTACCGACATGGGAGGTGATGGTCAAGTGGTATTATAACAAGACTTACTTTTTCCTTTATTCATTTATGTGAGGAGGGCATCGCTGGCTAGGCAGCGTTTATTGCCCATCCCTAATTGCCCAGAGGGCAGTTCAGAGTCAACCACATTACTGTGGGTCTGGAGTCATGTGTCAGCCAGACCAGGTAAAGGTGGCAGTTTCCTTCCCTAAGGGACTTTAGTGAACCAGAGGGGTTTTTCAGACAATCGACAATGGATTCACGGTCATCATTAGATTCTTTATTCCAGATATTTATTTCATTCAAATTCCACTATCTGCTGTGGCGGGATTCAAACCTGGGTCCCCAGAATGTTATCTGGGTCTCTAGATTAACGGTCCCCAGACTGTTAATACCACTAGGCCATCGCCTTCCCACTTTTAATCCAGAAACTCCGCCAATGTTCTGCATGTGAAGCTTGCCATGGCAGATGGTGGAATGTGAATTCAATAATAAATAAAATCTGAATTAACAATCTACCGATAACCATAAAACTATTGCCGATTGTCAGAAAAACCCATCTGGCTCACCAATGTCTTTCAGGAAAGGAAATCTGCCATCCTCACCTGGTCTGATCTATATGGGACTCCAGACCCACAGCAAAGCGGTTACACTCAAATGCCCCCCCGAGGTAGCCCAGCAAACCACTCAGTTCAAGGCAACTGGGTGTAGATAGTAACTGCTGGCTAGCCAGTGACACCCACGTCCCACGAATAAAAAGTTCTAAACCAGAGCCACAGATCATGATTGGTGACAGGCATATCCCTATTCCACAGATAGTTCCTTGATGCTTCAATCCTGCCCACCTCCCTGAGCTGCTCAGTACATGGCACAGCAGCATCAGACCAATGTCCTCAAGTAGTTCTCAAAATGACAGCACAATGACAATGGGCCTTCCTACCTTGAACTCAACTCTGGAGGTGGTGAGAAGAGGGCAGGGTTTGAATACATCACCACCTAACCAAATAAAATCCTCTTCCTGCTTCCAAGTTCACTACTTCCGGGAGCAGAGGTTTTTGTATAAGTGGGACCAATCCCTTTATTCACACACAGTACTTCATGAGATATCTGGGTGTTCTATGTAAGAAAGATACACTTACCCTTATTTCAAGAGCAATATCCAAATAAGGATCGTACGTATCCGATACACTCTTGCACACAGAACATTTAACTTTGGGTGCAGGAAGGGGAAAAGATCAAGACAAAAATGTTATAGTTATTCATGAATATTCATCCAAACTGGGGAGAAAGTACTTCACTTTAATATGATTCTTTCAAACACAGTTTCACAACTGCTCCGCTTTAACTTCTCAATCCGAAACTTTCCAAAGACTTATTGTCACATGAATTTGTTATGTGTGTTACAAATACAGTGAAAAGTTTTCTATTATGTCGCCATTCTCCAGTGCCATCTTAAAACACAGAAATAAACCAGACAGAGTATAAAAGTAGAAAAATAAAGTAGTAAAGTTAAGATAATTATGCTGGAAAACTGAATTATATTTAATCTCCTACCTTTTGCTATTTTTCATAAAATTGAATTATAGACAGCAGTGATGACTGTGGTCAAAAGATGGTGCTGAATTTTATTAACTTTTAAGTTTATCATTTCAAAATTGCGATTAGAAGTTTCTAATTATCCTAACATCACTCAAACAAATCCCATCCACTAAAAAGAACAAATTATCTGAAACTGGCAATTCTTCTTTGCCATTAAAAACTTGAGAACTTCTATTTCCCAATTAGTACAAAGTCTACAGACATAGCTAAATTATCCCTTCCTGCATTGCTACCTGAAAAAAATTCTCATTTTAATATTTCAGCACAGAATATTTAAAAGCAACAATCAATCAATCTCTCCAAGGGCAGCACAGTGGCTTGGTGGTTAACATTGCTGCCTCAACATGCCAGGGACCCAGGTTTTATTCCAGCCTTGAATGATTGTGGAGTTTGCACATTCTCCCCATCCTGCAGGAGCTTCCTTCCACAGTCTAAAGATGTGCATGTTAGGTGGACTGGCCATGCTGAATGCTCATAGTGTCCAGGAAAGTGCAGGCTAGGTGGATTAGCCATGGGAAAAGCAGGGTTAAAGGGATAGGGTAGGGGGCTGGGACTGGATGTGAGGCTCTTCAGAGGGTCAGTGTGCACTCGATGGGCTGAATGGCCTGCTTCCACACTGTAGGGATTCCATGATTCCAAGTGTAATTGCATTCTCTTTAAAGTAAATGTGGTCCTCCTGTGCCCCATCATTCCTCAGTTAAGAGCACAGGCATAGTGATTTGCTCTTGTGACTTTGTCAACTTCCACACAACGACTAGGATGTACACAGGAACAGTTGGGTACCTTGCCCCATTCTGCTCAGTATCTTGAAGTCAAGGTTCAGCTGAAACAATGAATTATTTTTATTGGAACTTCTGAACATTAGCTGGTAATCTATTGCTCGACAATTTCGCACTGACTCATTCTGCTACCAGGAATTTCTTCTGTATATTTAAAGATGTTGGGAAGTGGACTCAGTGCGATTACCATCTGTATGTTTTAGTTGACAACTTGCACACAAATCTGCACTATGTCTGCTTCACCCAGCCAGGAAATAAAAGACTGCGGTTTGCTCTCAGTCCCATCTGCTTGAGATGAAGTGCTGCTTTTTCTAAAATCAATAAGCTCAATTTTTTTTTTGGCAAATAATAAATTATTACCAGAAATCACAGTTTTAATTTTTCTAACATTATAATAAACTCAAATATGTTTTCTAAGTACTACTACCATTTAAAATAAATTGTCTAATTTCTAGACTGTACACTCCCTCACACTGAAATGTGTATCCCATTGTAAACATTGGCTTGTGGCCTTCAGTGGCTGAAAATATTTGGAAAAATAATCATGAATTTGTTTTTCTAATTACAAAATGACAATTTATTAGCTTCAGATACTTGATGTGAATAAAACCAGATCTGTCTCTTTCAGGATAATATCCCTTAAATGATTCATCCAACAAAAATGATTTATTGTTAAATATTTTCTCGAACATCATCTTACATAATCAGGGTGGACTGAGAGGGTAAATCATCTATTCAGTCCTTGCAGCTGCTCATTTTCTCAATAAACATTTTCGTAAGGAAAAATAGGAAGTTCATTGAAAAGGATTTGGTTAAGAGGCAGGGGAGTCAACAAATTCCAGACATTCTTTTGCTCATAGGTAATACCTCAATTCATTACTCATTAAATATTCAACAACTCCACTTCACTTTGGAAGCACTTTCTAAAACTTGTCCATTACATATATAAAGGATAAAATCTCTCCAGTCTACTTACCCCTAGATCTAAGATATCCTCCAAAAATTTGATGCACCAATGAAGTAGCTTGCGTTTGTCGGTCTAACCTTCAAAACATGAAGGGTAAGAGAAAAAGATTGCGCTATTACATCAGTTGGTGAATTATATTGAACCGACATCATGTCCATACATGCGCATATAGGAGGCACTGTGCCGCATTGACACGGGGAGCACATTAGTTTTGTGTTAAACTATTTTGTTTCCCAGCCGCACTTCACTGAACCAAGGAGTCAGAAATACATTGCATTTCACCCATAACCTTCCATTTGGTGCACAGAAACAACTAACTGGTTCTTAATTATATAATAAAACAGGATTCATATGGTGTTTCAGACTTGAAAAGACACAAATAATATTTGGTGAGCTCTGAGATACAACATGATCAGCCTTGTGCAGACTGAAGAAGAAACAAAGTATTTTCAATTAAGGTGTTAGCACAGGTAAGGAAACAAGAAAGAAATTTGCCACATCAAAAGCAAAATGCTGCAAATGCTCGAGATCCAAAAGAAAAACAGAAAATAGGGAAACTCAGACACCATCTGGCAGCATTTGTGGAGAGAGAACCAGAGTCAACATACTTCACAGATGTTATACCCAGCAATGCTTATCTACTGGTCTGAGCTCCTGTTAAAAAAAAACACTGGTACTAATAGCAACAAAAAAAAGAGTGAATACATTTCTCTAATTCACTTATTAAACAAACAACTTACACCAAAGAAAGAAAAAGTATGTTTCCAACTCTTTACAGTTACAAACTGAATTTGCCTCCACCCCAAATAATTAACGCCAATAAAGATTCTAAAATAAACATACTTGGTGCAACCACTCAGACAGGCCTTCTGCATTGCATCAATTGTGTATCTCAGAAACTCATGTGCGTCCTCTTGATTCCCAAAGCGAAAATGTCTAGCTATTTCTGTAATTAACATGAACAACTACATCAACACATGCCTTGTATTACATTAACTACACAGATATAAAACAGACAGTTTGAAATCCAAGTCTGGTGTATTTCCCGGTTATTTTCATGCAAGTACTTGAAGAACAGATCTGCATGAGCCAAACCAACTGCAGTGTGCCTGAAAGCCTGTGAAACATAATGATATTCTGTGCAGCCTGGTTCTAGTAGGGAATTGAAAGTTAGCAAGCTATAATTGAGGGTGTTATACAGAATCGATGTTTCTTAAAGCTACGTAACAGTTAAACAGAATTTAAGCATCGTCATAATCTTAGAAATTCACATCACCAGTGCTGTTTATCTAATGAAGTCATTCAAATCAAATTGCCGCTGTCAGAGTAAAATTCCAGTATCACACCTGTGTTCACCAAGTTTATGGCTTGATCAATTTCTTCCTCAAAATTGATTGAGGCCAAGTCAGTTGAAAGTTTCCAAATGAGATAGATAGATCTTTGATGGACAACCCGGGGAACTAAGGTGGGTGCAGATCTACAAAGTCTGAATGAACGCAGGGACAGATTTAAACAGCTGACTGCCCTAACCTTGTTCCTACACTTTGGAAGTTACATCCACAATCTGTTCATCTGGTCTCAAAATGAATAATTATTCATTGACAAAGCACAACAAAATTTCTGAGGACATCCTATAAAGGTGTATCAAATTGAAACGAATGTCACTTTAAATATTTTTCAGTCAAATAAACTGCTAATTCATTCTCTACAATAGGCCACAAGATTCAGAGAATGGATTGCAGCAATTAAAAATCAATAACTTACTTTTTAGCTCACGAATGAATGATAATGGTTTGATAGCATTTCCACTGTTAGCAAAGGCCTGTATCAAATGGTTCTGCATGATGCAGATCATACAAAATCCAATCTGGGGACCTGTAAAAATAAATTGAACATCGATCACCAATGCATGAAACGTACCCGAGAAGACCTGTATGTCAACAGCTTGCAAAGTATTAAATCTGGGTAAAATAACTGTTAAATCGATCAAATTGATTTGGGGGAAGGCTAAGGCCGAGTGGTGTAATTGCGAGAGTATTAATCCCAAAAATCAGTTAACGTTCTGGGGACTCAGGTTCAAATCCCACCATGACCGATGGTGGAATTTGAATTCAATAAAAAAATGCTTGGAATTAACAACTACTGATGACTGTGAAACCACTGCCAATTCTCGGAAAACTCATCTGGCTCACTAATGCCCTTCAAAAGAAGGGAATCTGCCATCCTCACCTGGCCTATATTTTGGGTCTGACTTCAGACCCACAGCAACGTGGTTGACTCAACATGAAATTGCCTAGCAAGCCACTCAGCTCAAAAGCAGCTAGGGAAAGACAATAACTGCTGAGCAGCCAGCGATGTCCAGGTCCCACCAGTGAACAAAAAATACTAAGGTCAATGGTCAATACGGGAGATGGTAAAGCCATTGGACCTTCTCAAACTCTCCTCCCTAGGGGGGGGGAAAAAAAAAAAAAAAAAAGAGATTTTACACAGGATTTCAAAATTCTTAGGGATTTGAACAGAATAGATTGCCAGAAACTGCTCGCACTGGCAGAAGGGAATAGAAGACATATGGATTTTGGCACTTGCAGTCAATGATCGAGATCCAGAATGCTGAGAGTGTGGTTGGGTTAGATTCAATAAAGGCATCCTAAAGAGAATCAGATAATTATCCGAAAGAAAATAATTTGCAAGGATGCAGAAAAAAGGCAGGATAATGTAACTTGGGGGTTGCCCTTTCAGACAATCACCACCAATACAACAGGCTGAATGATCTACTCCTGTATTGTAACCGTGCTATAGTCTGAATGATATCACACAGGCAAACATCAGCATGGAAGCAATGTCGGGTTGACAAAGCGGTGGAAAAATAAAGTCATCATCAACAAAAATATAGTCACTAACTCCTCTCCTGACAGGCAATATACAGTTCGGGAAGAGAGAATGGCAATCTTCTATCGTTGACGCAGAGTTTAAGTTCAGTCTGGCAGCACCAGATGCTGCCAGACCTGGTGAGCTTTTCCAGCAATTTCTGTTTTTGTTTCTGGTTTACAGCATCTGCAGTCTTTCAGTTTTCATTTAAATTCAGTCTAACTGACGGAAAGAAAGTTTCATCAACTGACTCTAAGGTCCAAGATGAAATGGGTTAAGGAACTTGAAGTGAGTATTACTATTCAAACATAAAACGAAGTGTGGAAAACAGATGAAAAGGATGCTAGCATGGCAGGCTGCTCCTTTAATGTTGCAGTACATTATTTAAAAAAACGCTTAGGACAATTGACCAGTGCTTAACCCAACGAGAGAGTGACAGGAATCTTAAACAAGGGTCGAATTTACCAAAGTTACCGACAGGAGGGCACCATATAGGCCTTCCTTATTGCCAGCCTTATTAAGCTCATCAAGTTTACTCAAGGTCATCAAACTGCCATGCAAAGCTCATACTTCAAGAACTGTCATCATTAGCAAAATTCAGAGCCAACATAAAGATTAAAGATGTCCTATTCCCAAGCAGCAATATCCCTCAACGTGATGAACTCAAAAAAACCCAGCATCTTGCTTTAGGCTCTTGACCCACAGGTCCTCAGAGTACATCCACAAGAAGTGATTAATACGTAGACAAAAATGAAATGGAGCACAATTAGCTTAGTTCACTGTGACACAAGAGGGTAATTATTTTTGGATAAATCATCTCTCTAAGAACGGAACTTAAATCGAATTGAACTGTATTGCTACCTTGATGTTTTCAAAATACAACTGCATATGAATGCAAATTTTTTTAAGCTCTGGCACTGATCAGAAATCACTCCTGTTAATATTATCTAGATTTAACACTAACATCAATAAAAGGTTTTTAAAAATTATGAATCCTTCATACTAGAAGAAACAAACATCCATCCTACTAGGCACACAATTGTCTAACGGCAATCAAAAAACGGCTGCAGTAGTCAATGTCTGATCAGAGCATTGTATTTTTGATCATTACGTCCTCCACTGTATACCATACCATTTTGACTCTGCAGTTACACTACTACTCACGTCATTTTTTGCTGTTAAGAGCAGAGAGGGCTGAGGGGCTGATTGAAGTGTACGAGATTAAGTGAGACACGGACAGAGTCAAGAGGAAGCAACTGTTCCCCTCAGCTGAAGGGTCAATAATGAGGTGGCATAATTTTAAGATGGGCAGAAGGTTTAGAGGGATTTGAGGACCTTTGTTTTCAGCAGAGGGTGGTGGCAATCCGAATGCACTGCCTAGGAGGACATGGGGGAGGAGACCTCAACCTTTGAAAAAAGTACATGGATGACAACTTAAAGTGTGTTAACAAGGATGTCAAGGATAGTGGGATTAGTGTAGATAGGCCAGCACAGAACCAATGGGCTGAAGGGCCTCTGCTCTGTGCTGTATAACTATGTTTCTGACTTTTGGCTTCCAAGATTACTGCTGTGCATCAGTTGGATACATTTTAACATTAGGTCAAGCATACAGGAGACAATGGAACAATCCAGAAGGTGGCTGATCTGTACCTCAACTCCACTTATAATAGCTGCCCTTTGAAACCCGAACTGAAAACAAAATGGAAAATTTCAATTGAACCAGTAACAATAACCTTTATGAGGGGCGGGGTGCACAAAGAGAATTGCAGATTATTTCTACTGCCCTGTGTGATTTAAGACAAAACTTCCAAATGGTCTAGCTCTAGTTTCAACATTACATCTTCAACATATAACCAATATCAAATTCTTCAAAACCACAATTAGATTCTCCTAAACCTCTAAACACAGGAGAGGCTGGGACTTTTTCCACTGGAGCATAGGTGGTTGAGAAGTGACCTTATGGAGGTTCATACACACAAGGGGTATAGATAAGGTGAACAACAAGTGTCTTTTCCCTCGGGTGAGGGACTTCAAGATTGAGGGACGTACTTTTAAGGCGGGAGGAGAAAGCTTTTAAGACGACAAAAGGGGTAACTCTTGTTTTAAGAAAACAGAGTGTGGTTCATTTATGGAATGAATTTCCAGAGGAAGTGGTGGATGCGGGTACAGTTACAACATTTGAAAGACATTTGGAAAAGTACATGAAGAACAAACATTTGGAAGGAAATGGGCCACTCGCAGGCAGGTGGGACTAGTTTCGTTTGGGATTATGATCGGCATTGGACCAAAGGGCCTGTTTCCAAGCTGTATGACTATGAAACTTAAACAGGCCATATTCACAATTTAACACCTTTAGGTATAGATTTCATTGTCATGACTTTGTATGGCACCCTCTCCAAGGTCAATATATCTTCCTTGAAATGTGGTGCACAAAACTGAACACAGTACTTTGTATGGAGTCTAAGTAAGGCTTTGTACAATTGAAGTATAAAACTTTTCAATTGTATTCCAAGTTACATTCCATTAGCCTTAATCATTATTTTCTCTACTGTGCTTTAACTTTTAGAATTTCTGAACACAAATCACTAAAACGCTTTGCTACTCTACTGTTCGTAGTCTGTTTCTATTCCAAAGAATTATGACTTGTCATTTTAGGTTTGAAGTGGGTGATCTCAGTTTCCCCACAGTGAACTCAATTTGTCACCATCTGAAGGCAGAAAAACTTTTAACGAAGTGGGAAGTTATGTAGGAATTTGAAAACAGAGACAAGAATTTTAAAATAGTTTACCAGACTGAGAGCAAAGTAAGACAGCATGCACAGAGGTTATGCTCGTTTTTGACCAATTCATTGCGTTATGTTGGAGCTGACACCTCTGCACCCTAATTTGGAAGCAGCTGTTAATTTGTCCACTTTGCGTTGTGTTTCTGAATCTAGGTCACGTATTTCAATTGGAAATATCACCTCTCCAAGCATCCAACTGGAGACATTTCCTGTTATGTTGTGTTGTGTTGTAAAGTGACCGAGCTTTCAGGTGCCCGCCACTTCAACATACCATCGCGTTCCGCACCCAATATTTCCGTCTCAGGCCTGCTGCAGTGCTCCAGCAAGGGTCAGCACAAACTGCAGAAACAGCATCTCATTTTCCGCTTGAAAACCTTAAAGCCTCTGCGATTCAATATAGATTTCAATAGTTCAATTATTGAGTCTGGAAACCTCCTTCCATGTCCTTTACTAGTTTCTGTAGCTAGTTTCTTTTCATATAGATCCACTGTTGGTTGCCAGACCTACGTACAGCCTTGGGACAAGTTCCGCATGAGCAGCGACCTGCTTTTGCTACGTTTCAGACTAACATCCTAATACAGAATCGTGCCAGTTTCTAGGGTTGAGCATTGCAGAATGTGCAATTTACTGTATCCACTTCAGTCTCACACACCAAGGTCATCCAAATTCCAAGCTGCAAAAACACAGCTGCAGGAAGGTTGGCAGTGGTAATTTTCTCCACACCTCTACTTTCTAGATCACAAATTTACACAAATGAAAACATTTACATCGTGTTTGTTAAAAATAAATAGTTCAAGGTGGTGCCATTATAAAAAGATGAGAGAAAAGAACTAAGTTATTCAAGTTTCGTTATGGCTTATCTGTACTGCACAAGAAAGCAACAGAGTCCAGCCTTCCCTGCATTTGTACTACAGTTTGTGGTATCACGATGTATGTTTGACATTTTAGGCCACTGTACACATTAATAAACCAGAACTGCACCTTGTTCTCATAGTGAACATAGTATTGAATAGGCTTGCCTGTAAATGAAAACTCAATTTTACAAAAGTACAAATTCTGACAACTTTTGATCAAGGTAGATGAGGTAAACATGGGGAACAGAACACATAACACACTGGATTAAGGCACTATGTCTCACCAACATGGAATATCACCACCTGGATAGCAATCTTAAATGTAACAATATTTGTTTAAATAACATTCTGACAGACAGCTGATTAGATTATGCATGAGATTACAATTTTATTTGTTGTTTTGTTATGGGATCAGCAACCACAAGCAACTAGGCCCACTCTGCCAAAATTATCAGGGCCCAACGGAAAGCAAATCATGATCCTACTACAGTGGACGGGATGTGTTCAATCAATGTGATCAAGCTTTACTGAATAGTGCAACCGAGCTCATCATCTTCAAACTACTACTAATTGTAATGTTGTTGAAGGATGCAGTGGCATTCGGACGGAAAGGTGACTGTAAAGTTGCCATAGTCCAACTGGACCATGGGGCTGCTCTCTTATTGGAGCGGGTGGTGGTTTAACCAGAGGGTCATAACGCTTCAGGCCAGGGGAGAGGTTGAGACCGTCATTGTAACCTCAGCCGGTGCAAGAATTGGCACTCATGTCGTTGCCATTACTGTACATTGCAAACTGCTCATCCAACCAACTGAGCTCAGCCCTAATAACCTTATTGGGAAAAGTCAATTCAAAAAACAAAGCAAAGCAATTTGTCAGTATAAAGTGAGGTATTAACCTGCATGAAAAAGAAAAATCAAATGTTGAACTCTATTCACATCTATCTCTGTTCCAGTTCCTGTCATTACTTCCCCCAGTTACTAACAGAAACACTGTACATTTTGAAAGAGAAAATGATTTCATAATTAAAAGCAACAGTCCACATTACAACAAATGTGGAACGCATAACATACGATTATGAGAAAATAAATTGATGGGTTTGATATTATTGAAAAGAAGACAGATAGTTTTAAATAGATGAAATATTTTAACCTACAAGAAATGCAAATTAGCCAATCAGGCGTTAACTCAAAATTTCTCTTTTCTCTCCAAGTGCAATTTTGCTCACATGGATTAAGTTGAGACAAGTAATGCTATCAACATCCATTTCAGTAAGGTCACTTTTCACATACCCAAATTAATTTGGAAGAATGCAAAGTTTGCACTTTATCTTCAATCAGCTGCTGTGAAGTAGAATACTTTATAATTAATTTATGACTGTTATTTCAATCTCCTTTAGGTTTCCCACGGCAATGATACAAGCTGAAGCTGACAGGGCAGAGGACTAGCCTGCTTCAAACCTTGCTGAGTTGGCTGGTCAGTACAAAACATCACTGGTCATCTGGCAGGTTTCCTCAAAGGAACTGAACTTAGCACCTTTCGATCAACCTCCTGCCATTCCTACTCTTGCACCAAACTCAAACATTTCAAATCTAGGGAAATCCTAACTGCTTTAGGTCAGGAACAGTTACGTCAGCAGCAACTATGTCAGTTCACAAAATACACTCTCTGGATTTCTACAAGCTCTTCACAGATTTGACCTTTTCTACTTTCACACCAGGTTTGTAATCAACATGCACATTAAACGCTCAATAAAAAAGGAGAGATGCAACAAATATAACTGAAAAACTGCAGAGCTGGTGCAACATAAATCTTGAATAAGACTAGCCTTCAAATATAAAAATGAGTACCAGAATCCTGCAATATCTTAAATTTCAAAGATTCCAGATACTGTAGAACTTACATGTCTTGCTGTGCTCTTTTGAAAGGAGGTAATTGGCCAGTGGGGGTGTATAAGTCAAGCACTGTACAGTGGAGTTCAAGAAACATGTATTTCCGAGGTTGTGGAGTCCTGCACCAACTCTGCACACACGGACCCATTTCATGGACAACTTTTCCATTGGAAACAGTACTTTCTGAGGGGCTGGGATCCCATCATTTGAAGTGCCACTGGTTTCACAGACTGAAAACAAGCAAATAAAAGCAGAATGTTCTTTAGGTAAGGGGAAGTGGAGGAAATTCAACTGCATAAATGACCAATCTCTAATTTTTGATTACATTATCTTTACTTCCACATCTACAGAAAAGTACTGATCTGAAAGCTGACATCAGCTGAAACCAACAAGGTAGCTTCTTATAAAGAGCAACTCCAAATATGCAAATAAAAAAAAAGTACTGTGGATGCTGGAAACCAGAAACAAAAACAGAAATTGCCGGAAAAGCTCAGCAGGTCTGGCAGCATCTGTGGAGAGAAATCAGAGTTATTGTTTCAGGTCCAGTGACCTTTCCTCAGAACTGATGGTAGCTCAGAAAATGTTGGTTTTTGTGCATCAAATCAACATTTTCCCAGCTACCATTAGTTCTGAGGAAGAGTCACTGGACCCGAAACATTAACTCTAACTACGCAAATATTCACTGGAGAACTTTATTGTGACAAAAGTCAATATCTAAAGAACTCCTCGTACAAGAACTAGCCAGTTAATGTTGGGCTGAATACTTCAATGTTGACATATTCCACTCTTGGAAAACATGTTTTAAGTGTAAAACTAAAACTCAGCACCTCTGCAGGGCTCAAAAATATCAATTAAAAAGTAAGGTATATCAAGACATGATGCATTACTTTACAATACCCAATCTCCCTGTCACAGGTAACAAAAAGTTATCCTTCAGTGAAATCATTAAGGAGCATAAGTATGGGTTGTTCACATCTTCCACAGCAAATTCTAACATTCAAAGATGGATGACTAACATGCAAACTTTTGTATTGTTGTATATATACACTTAAGTTATATATTAAAGCCAGTAACTAAAGTTATCCATGAGTCTTTCAGTTCGGAAGATTTTCATAGATGCACCTGGACGTGCATGTAACGTGAAAGAGAATTTGGTTTAGGAGTGCAGTGAACCAGTGCTTCATCCCTTGTAAGCGGCCTGTAGAATTTAACAAGACAAAGTTCTTATTCCTTGAAGCCTGAAGTATGGTTATTCAAGCAATGCAGAACTCATACAGTATCAACATATCACCACAGTGAGCAAATGGGAGTAAAACAAAAGCATTTTAAGGTGAATTAGCTGCTTGTTTGAGAACGAGATCCACATTACAGCCAGAAGAAAAACTTAGCGAATCCAGTGAAAATAAAAAGCTAAATGTACACCAGCATAACAATGAATGCTTTGGGAAGTTGATGACTTCATTGAAATATTTGAGAAATTTAAGCAGAAATGCAGTTGACTTTCAACAATTACCTAGAAGACACCCGAAACAAAAGGAAAGCCAGCTATACATTTTGTGGGCAGGCGATATATGATTAAAAATTAGCAGCTGGGACCTAACTGAAGACGACAGCAAAAACGCAGGTGTAAGTTTTCAAAGATTTAGCATCTGTATCCTTCCAAAAATCACATCATTGGATCTACCAGCTTGAATTTCAAGGACTCAGGCAAGGTACAGGTGAAATAATACATAACTTTACAGAAGATTGAGAAACGCAGTCAGGAAATGTAGATTTAAGGACATTGATTAAAGGCTGAGAGATGAATTAATTTGGGGTTCCACACGCTGAAATACGAGAACACCAATTACAAAGCACAAGCTTACCATATTGAAGGCTGCAGATACAGTACACAAAGCAGACAGATGATGACGACACTGGCTAGCCTTCAGATAAGCCAAAGGAAGGGCAGCAGGTTTGCTGCAGTGAAACCAAAATAAAATACAACGAGCGGAAGCTACAGATCACAAAAAGAACAACCACAGACGTAAGGAAGTTTTCTTTGTGGACTAATTTGCCGAGCTTGCGGTAAAGCCAAGTCAATGCAAGAAGAGAGTGGTCAAGTTACTGAGACCCGAGCAACAGGGTGAATGGTTAGGGAAATAAATCAAGACATCTGTACTCTGGAAGATGATGGCAATTCTGTCAGTCAGTGATATACATAAGAAACATAGAACAGCATGAAATGTCTGGATGCGACAGCTCCCAGAGAGAAAAAAAAAATCCACATAACAAGGAGGACAGTGCAAAAGAAGGCCATGACAATAAACTTGAAGGTGAAGAATGGCACCCTATCATACAGTAGCAGAATCTGAACAGGATAATATCAGAAGGGAAGATAAATGGTGAGCTGAAGATAAAGGTCTGCTGAAATCAAGCAATGGGAACAGCTGAGATTTGGCAACTAATCTGAGCTAATTCTTCTTCTGGTGGAAGTAGCCTGAAGAATTAAACAAGATCCTATGCTTTGAAGTTTGACGTATGATCATTCAAATACCACCAAACTCATGTCAACATATTACAAGCTATACAGAATTAAGGTTTGTTCAGCAAGTTAAGTATTTACTGTTCTTAAACAGTAAAATATCCGCAGAGCCAATATTGGCTATTTGTTACAATGAATCACATAATGAAGTCAAAATTCAATCTCCAAGAATTTAGCCATTATATACTGATGTTTCATTGCGCAGAGATCTTTCTTATTAACATTATTAAAATGACTGTAAGCGACATGAAGTTATACTTGCCAGTGTCAAAATCAGAGGAACATGAAGCTGTAGTAGCACCTCCCATCCCCCACCACAGTCACTAAACCATGGGGTGTATTTGATAATAAAATGCAATTCAAGAAGGTTGGATATGCATACCTTGTTTTTTTGTTGGGGTGGAACAAGTATTTTTCTGGCTGACTGCACCTTCAGTTTTAGGATTCAAAATGACATATTTGCTCTTCAGTGTTTCTAGCTGACAGGAAAAGCTCTTGCTGGCAGGCTCGAATTCAATTTTCTCAAGAAGAACCTTCTTTGCTGAAGCTGTTAGCAGTTTGTTAAGGTCACCTTCATCAGTAGAATCTTTCCGTCCAGGCTTCAGGGCTTCTTTCAACTTGTCTACTATAGGCATGGTGCATAACTGTAATACAGAAAATATAATGAGCTGAATTATCTTCCACCAACAGTACAATGAACCAATCGATACAAGGTTGAACTAACCTTGTTCCCTTTGTAACAGTGCCACATTAAACCAAAGTGATCACACAGGGAATTTCAGCTGAGCTAAGGTTAATTTTTAAAATTTTGTTAATTAATATTCATTTCAACTTGAAGGTGCAAAATTTTTCTCCAGGAGGATCTTTCATTGAAACCGCAGCCCATTTTTGCAATATCTACCCAGCCGAAGAATTGGGGCAGTTAAAACACAAAGATTAGCCAAGGTTGGCAGCAGAGAGGAATCAGAAGGAGACGCAATGACACGCACCAATTTAGGGTGAAGAATTTAATCTGTTTGACTTTTAGTAAATCTTCGTTACAACTGTGGTCGTACATTTTCTACATATCTTTTTAAAATGGAAAAGTTAGCTCTCCTTTCACCGGGGCAAGTATTTTGAGATAAAGCATCAATTTTAAACAAACATATTGTTTTACAGTTCCTTCATAGGACTCCCCTTTGACCAAAGTAGTAACAGAATTACAGCAAATTTTCACACAGCTTATAAATAACATTTATCCTGTAAGTGGACACTAGCTGCATTTTACATTGAGATCTGCTTTGGTATTAAAAAATGATCAAAGCCCTAACCCCATTAAACCTTAAAGTCTGAATTAATGGTATTTTTTTTAGAAAGGTAGAATCATATAATTCCTACAGTACAGAGAGAGACCATTCGGCCCTTCAAGTCTGCACTGACCCTCTGAAGAGCATTTCACTCAGATCCAGCCCCCACCCTGTCCCCATAACCCTTCATTTCCCAAAGCTAACCCATTTTGACTCTGCATCCTCGGACACTACAGGGCAATTTAGCATGGCCAGTGCATCTAATATGCGGAAATTTGTACAGAAGATACAAAAGTACAAAAAGGTTTACAAAAAAGTATTGAGTGTTCCCTTCATAAACCTAGAATCTAAACATACAACTTATTTTTGTGATTCATGGAAATATATGCAGAGTCACCAGCTGCCGTCAGAATAATTTAGTTTAATCCAGACAATTTACCAAAAATGTACGTTTCACAACTAACATTTTTCCTCATTGAACTAAAACCTACAAAAGGGACTCAAAATGTATTTACTTAAGCATGCACAACAAATTATTCAAAATCTAGCCTGACACATTAGTGTACACTTAATTGCATGACTTCTCAATGATTCTAAAACACTTCCATCCCAAGAGTGATACCAACAGCATGGGTTCAATTCCTGCAATGGCTGAGATTACGTTAAGGAACCCCCTTCTCAACATCTTCCCCTCTCTTGAGGTATGGTGACCCTCAAGTTTAATCACCAGTCATCTCTCTAGTGAGAGAGCAGCCCTTTTGTCTGACAGGACTGGGGTGACTTTCTTTTAAAAAAAAAGATATTAAATAGACTTCTATGCAATTTTTACTTCAGGACTCGGCACCATTTCATTTTAACCAAGAAACTGACCACGAATTAGCTATAACAATTAATTTTACAGTATAATTAATTTTTTGCATCTGTGGAACATGGGAATAAAGAGTAATTATGATGAATATTAAAATTGGTAGGATGGATGCTTTTTCAACAAACAATCAGAACAAGAACAAGTATCCCACAGAAAAATATACTAACATTGGTTCTTGATTTAGCCATTTCATTGTGCGGACAGACTGTGACTGGTCAGTTTGCACAAATCCAGATTTTACAAATGCTATCAGTAATTTAGAAATCATATAACCTTATGAAGTCAATCTGATACCAGAAAAAGATAAGTTAATTTCAATGTCAAGTAAACAGAACACATTGAGTGGATGAAAAGCAAGAAATTGTAAGTTGTTCTTCACTATATTAACTAAGAGGGGTGGAGTCAAATAATGATGAGTATTCAAAAAGGAGAAAATAATCACTCAAAATACAACAACTGTTAACAGCTTCTGTGGTTTTCCACGGAAGGTCTGAAAAGTGGAACACAAGTGTCTAAAGAGAATACAAATTATCAAGGCAAAGTGAGGTATCACCTACAAAAGTTAGCTCACTGTTTGCTGCAACATATTAGTGCAACACTTGTCACCAGGGCAAGCAGCCATTTTTAAAAATATGACCAGGGGGTGTTTAGCATTGTAGGTGCTTTACTAAGTATGCACCAAGTCCATCAGACCTGACTTTATTGACCCTATGCTTCTGCAACAAAAATGCATAAAAATTTCATGTTGATCAGCAGGTTTAGGGCCCTTAAGTTCAAACTTTCCATATTTTGCAGCGAAGCACTTGGTTTAAACTGGGTGCATGTGCTGTCCAAATAGAGAAAAGAAAGAATTGAGGAAATAGTTCAAAAACTTCCAAACCAAAAAAGCAACACAAAGTTATGAGTTGATGCCAAATTTTAAAGATTGATTCAAGGCAAATTATATCAAACAGATGACTACCAATAGGAGACTTACAGACCAGGAAGAGTTGGAAGAATAAAGAAATTCTTGCTTTTATATTTAAAGAAGGTAACTTCAAGTGGGAAATTAATCATATTGACAATGCTGTCATTGTCTGAAGTTCATAATTTCTCATTTTCAAAATCTTCCAACATTTACGATAGCGAGTTTAATACTTCAACAATCATTTTATAAATACCAGGTACAAGGTACTTCCAAAATATAGAAAGTTCTTAAGTAAAAAGAATGTCTGAGAGATCACCTGACTACAAGAAGGTACATATGTAGGAACATAATTTCTCTACTGTGGTCTGCACAGGATGCAACAGCAATTTATTGTAAGTAAAGCAAATAGATCATGGATTCTGAATTACATGCTTATGAGATGTCTGACCAGTCCAATGTCAGATTTGCGATCACAGGTAGTGCTTGGAGGATTATGTAGGCAAGTTGTATGGATCTTTGTATAATCTCTCTCACATTTCACCTTTGACATAGCTGACAAATTCTCTGCAGGTACAAGATGCCTTCCCAAATGAACCTTCATTTTGCTCAGTCACAAGCAGTTCTAATGTCTTCCTGGGAAGCTCCTACCACAACCAAATTCTGAATAATGCAAGTGGTTCAAACGTCCAGTGTCAGGTGTATCAGAACATGTTCTGCCCAACAGAGCTGGATTTGAATGATTAGACCTCAATGTTTGACATACAGGTTCATTCTTTTTTTTTAAAACCAGCAAAAGCACTACTACTGGTACTTCTCTAGTGCTTGGAGGTGCCTACTATTGGTTGTCCAAGTCTCCCTGAAGCAATTGGAGGCATAGAAGATGACGATGAACAACACTGAAATAGGTGATCTAGTCATTTATTACATTACTGATTGTGGAAGCTTACTATGGTTCTGAATCTGCACCAACACCTCTGGAATAAACAGCTACGTGTAAGGAAAACAATAGCCTTTCTTACCTTCTAGTATTTTGTTTAATAAAATGTTTTGATTTCAATTTTACAAGGTCCATGCTCAGAGGCTGGTATTACTAATTCCTCAACTAATCCAGATACAATGCTCACTGAAATGGCACTGTATTTATTCTTACAAGTATCAAATTCCTTTAAAGTCTTTCGCTTTTTATATAAAAAGAACTTCAGTGTTCTAAGAATAGCAGTCATCTAACAGGCTAGATAGTCGAACATTAGCAAATCTAAAAACAAACAGCAAAAGGGTACACACAGGCAACTTTTAAGTCTGATTAATGATTAATAGACAACGACAAAGTGGCAGAGAAATATCACACTACACAAATTAATCACAAGGAAAAGAAAGCCAATAGTTTTCTCATTAAATAACAAAAAATTTGCATTACGGTTTTGACCATCTAAACAGTTGATTTTCAAAAACATAAGGTACGTGCAAAAATGGGTTTGAGATGCCAAAGTATCTTTCAAATTAGACCATTGAAAAGTTAGGGAAGGTAGGGAGAGTGGGGGAAAACAGTGAATGGGAGATATTCATTCACATACTGTTTTCAAATATCAGACAAAACCACAAGATCATAACACAGATACTGACAGGGAAGACAATATGGTCCACCCAAGGATAAGGAAATCTACAGTTGTCTAATTTACTTGCTGAATTCTACAGAAATAGCTTTAATACCTAGGGTACAGAGGGAGCATATTTCTTAAAATGCGTTTAGGAGAGCTATTTATATCAACATGTGGGAGGTCCAATAAGGGAGAGTGCGGTGCTGGACCTAATTCTGGGCAACAAAGCCAGACAGGCAGTCAAAGTGAACAACACCATTTGTTTTGTTATGGAAAAGGAGAAAGATGGGTTTGCAAAATTTTTGGATTGGGGGGAGGAAGGCAGGTTTGATTAAAATAAGGCAAGATCTGGCCAAAGTAGACTGGGAATAGCTATTTGTGAGAAATCTACAGAACAGTGGAAGGAGTGTTGCTTGTGTTCAAAAACAAATTGAGGCAATTACAAGCCCAACATATTCCCTTTAGGGTGAAATGTAGGAGCAACAACAAACCCAGAGAACCCTCGAGATCTAGGAATATTCAGAACAGGATAAGGAGGAAGAGAGAGGCTTGTAACAGGCACAAATGGAGCAAATCATTAGGTTCTAGTGGAGCATAGTAAGTGCAAGAGGAACATTGTAAAACAATTAGGAGGGCAAAGAGGGGGCACGTAAGTACTTTGGCAGGTAAGCAAAGGGGGAATCCCACAATATGCTATCATAGGACAGAGTGTGACCAGGACTAGCTTCAGGCCCATCAGGGGTGTATACACATGTGCGTGTGAAGTCTGTGCCTGCAGCCAGAGAACATCGACAGGCTGTTCAACAACAACTTCACATCTGTCCTTGTTGGTGGGAGGATGATGGTAGTGAATTTGGGAAAAGGGTCTGTAAAGTTCTGGAGTAGGTTGTTATAAGGGTTGAAGAGGCACTGGATAGGCTTAAAAGCAAACAACTTCCCAGGTCCGGATGAGCTGTATCCCAGATTGTGGATGACAAAAACTGGC